TGATTCATCCCGGTGTCTGCCTTGAACATTTAACATTTCAGGAATAATATACATTATTTATGGTATGTATGGTTTTATGTCTACAGAGAGTTGGCTAATCAAACTAGTGCCATTAAATTGTCTGTTCTGATACAAATCAACTGCTTTCATGATTAAATTTATTCTTGTATTTTATACAAAACTTTGCAGTCTATGCTCTGAGGAATAGACTTTCATTCCTTTTAATATGTTCTGAATATTTTCCATTAAAAATGTATGATCGAGTTCTAACAACTTAAGTTGTGACATACAAAATGTCCATTATAAAAGATGTCATACCATGCCAAGACTTAAGCAATTTTAACAAAATTTCTCCCAGAAAAAGTTAAGCATAAATTAACTACGCCCACTAGCCAAACACTTCAATGTAAGTATACTGATTGGCATGTTGCAGATCACTAGAATATATAGAGTAAGGTCTCCGTCACACGTCAGTACGTCAGTAAACACGTCAGACGTTTTGTGACTAAAAATAATATGATTCTTGATTTTATAAGGTAGCATCGACGTGTGACGTGTTGGTCGTGTTGACTGACTCACTGACGTGTGACGTAGAAACATTGAATATATAAATGTGCACTTGCGGGAACTCGCAGAACAGAAAATAAGGTCTGCATTATAGACTTTTACGCTGACAAAAATAATGAATTCACGATAAAATACCACAGTATCTATTACAATGTGCTTTATTTCATTTGAAAATCTGAACAGGGTCATAAACTGTTTAACGACTTCATTATCCTTTTCAAAAATCTGAATGTGACTTAAAGGTTGATTTGCTAATAAAAATGTAGACTTACTGATTCATTATAGCCTACCATGAATCATCATTAATTGAATACCCCATCTGAATTGTTAAAAAAACGTGATACATTGTATGGGGTTGTTTTTGTAGTTTGTATTGATGTGATTCATCTTTGTTATTTCACACCACATAAAGTTCGATATCACGTACATTTCATTCAATTTTATCCTTTCGTTCCGGAAAATACGACAAAAAAAAAAAAAAAAAAAAAAAAATTGCAGTTATAAATCAATGACGATAGCGAATTTGTATAAAACATAATTATAGCACTTACAGACAACAAATTAGATATCATTTTCTCCGATATGTCATTTACTTAATATCATGAAGTACATGATTCTTTATTTTCGTATTCTGATCACCAATTTCCTTCAATTATGTGCGTGTGAAATATGTACGTTAGGTGTCAGGTTTGGCGCCAAATGTAAACACTAATCGAGATGAATTTGTAAATGAAACTAGACATTTGAAATTTGTAACATACAGAATCAATAAGTAGATTTACACAGTAATAATATCTCTTACTCAATTATAATGATTCATTGTGAAGCGTTTAGAGTCGCTTACGACATGCTGGGTGCAATAATTCATTACTACATTACATATCACGCTCGTAAGAGACGATGTATATGCAATGGTAAATCGATGATACGTCCTAATGCGACTTAAAGGCTTCTTGCCTGAATTAACGTTGTCGGTTATCAGAGTTTTTGCTGAACGTTTGGTACATTAGGCCTATAACACCATATTTCATTACCACACTATGAATGGAACAAAAGGCTGTCATTCGTAATAGTTAGTCAAAACTGGGCTACGTGTATCATGAGCGGTAAACTAGCTAAACAATTTATCCGAACTTGCTTTGTGATTTGCATATTGTAACATTGATTGAGAATCGTTTTTTGTCATTATACTTATCACGCTGTATCGCGCCTTTCTTTATTTGAAGATTATGAAGATTATATTCTTCAGATACCGTTATATGATTTTTTTCTGAAAACTGATGTAGAATTTTATCATTAGCGATGTCATATCCAGTTATTTATTACTGTCCAATATTCGCCTGAAGTTACAGATTCCATATTAATATCAAGTCAAGGTAATGACAAATCTATCATAGTGAAATTTATATCGATATTGAGTACTCAGTAGAAAGGTTAATGGCGTCTTAAGAATAGTGGAAAATCTCTTAAGGAAATGCCAAGCCTGCTTTTGATACAGTTTTAGCTTCCAGGTTTCTTACTGGGTTTCCAGAAACAAAGCAAAGGTTGCACGATATGGGAACAAAGGGCTTCGTTGTTATGTTGTTATTCTTATTTGGGCTACTGACCAACAAAGTAGTGGATGTACAACCAAACAGTCGACCGTAAAAGTTCCGCTAGCCCTCTGCAACGGAAACTGCCAAGGATTTCCGAATGATGTACTATTTCGATTAATCATTTCTTAACTCTTTTTGATAGCAGCATTTAGAATTATATATCAACTAATGATATTTTTGTGTATTGCTCAAATGTTTTGTTTGAATTGTCTACTAGAAAAGGGCACTAGAACTTTCAAAGTGCTTTGTATAGGTCAATAGCAAATCGATGAATTTGTAAAGATAGATCGCCTGTATCTCCAAAATCAGATAGCAGCCCTTCAGTTTTAACCATTATCGAAAAATAAACATTAGACTATGTATTAAGATCTAATCGGGGATGTAATACGATTATTTAGAGCTTTGGTATAAGATAGATAAGAATAAGAGTATCATAATGGACCCATTATGCCCATTAACTTGCTTTGTTTAACCATGAATTATACCGCAATGTCCATAACTGTAACAACAGTATAAGAAAGTCAATCTGATTAAACCTCGGATTCTAAATACCTTTTCTATAACATTTCACACGATGGTAACATTAATCCCATTTTTCAAAAATAGTATGTCATTGGCAAATATTATTGAAAAAACCCTAAGAAATATCGAAAGTTACATAGAGAATTGGACATTCTATGGTTTGCATCACAAAGTGTGTAACTAGAAGGCTGGTGTTAAACCAAATGCTCGCCTATAATGAATCAATATATAAAATAACTAGCTATGATAGATTTATTAACTTGATAAACAGCGTATTGATTACCTATAGTACTGGTCAATACTATACTGACCTTACCATTTGTACACCATTAGAAATATTAGAATTAACAGCATATAAGCATTTGCCGTGTGAAGTCTTAGACAAAGATGCTGAGTTGACAAAGTCCAATTACAGAGTCACAATTTTTCATTTGAAATTTAAATGAGATAGGTTAATGACAATGTCATGCACCACAATTTTCGATAACAACATATATCTGGTAGCACATGAGTTGTTCTTATTATAGAATGTGTATTCTTATTCTTGGTGATTTACATTTTCGTTTATACTTTATTTCCAAATAACAGATTGTCATGGTCATGCAGTAATAGTGCAGTGTTCTACCTTTTATTTTGAATTAGGATAGGATAGAAATGACCTTAGTTTTGACTTTCTGTTTATGTATTTCGCTTATGTTCAACATATTATGTCTATTGATGCAATGTTTAGATAGCTTACTGAAGAATCCTGAACAAGATTTGAACAATACCCAGAGTCAAAACTAATAAAGAAGACACCTCATCAATAGTAACATCAATACTTGGTACACTACTATAAACATGTGGTGGTTACTTTCATAATAAAAGTATCGAATAACCAACTAGTATATATTGTCCATCACACATCATATATCGATTTCCATTATTAGCTTCTTCTTTCATAAATCACTATCATTCTTCTTGGATATATGTAATCTCTCTCACACGCATCTGACGGTAGAGGTCACTAACTCACGGTAATAATTTGAAACCAATACTAATCTGGTTCTGTATCTTTTTACGTCCTGTAGTCTATTCCTGTCGCATTCTAGAAATCTAATCTAAGAGGGTTTTTTTGTGATGGGAAGTTTCAAAAGAATGTGGAACAAAAGTATTCCTTTATTGTACAATATTCAGCTTTTTGGTCATGTTGGAACTGTAAACATTGAATATTCAATAATGAGAGAAACGGCACTCCTGAGTCATATCTGTATCTTATAACGTCCTGTTATATCCTGTCTATTCTTGCAGGTCTGTGGAATAATTCAACAAAAGTAGTTAATTGTTGTAGTGATGGGAGATTGTTCTGTCTGCTGATTTTCTCGCTGGTGACGCGTTGAAACAGTTAATTCATAGATTGAATATTCATTATAGAGCGATGGCGATCAGATACAATCCTTTGAGCTTTTATGCTATTTTTATGCAACAATTTGTGTGAAATTCTGGTCATGATATTGCCTATGAATATATTTTTGTTTTCAATTGATTTTGCAAATCATCTCTTTTCAAAATGTGAAATCCTGTTACCAAGATATTAAGAATATGTATGGATCTACTTCCATAATGATGTTGAACTCAAGCTTCTTCAGACAAACAATATGGAACCAATAAACCAATATCCCAAGAGTTCTCCCGCGCCCTGCTTCTTCTCTCTAACAATGATGTATCAAGATTAACGTGGACGATAAACGTGTTTAGTAAGCGATATCAGTGATAAAAGTTGTTTCCATTACTGCCAAGTAGATACAGAGAGTTATTGACTTTATCAGCAACTTTAAACCATTTGTTTATTCTACCAATTGACTAATGACCTTTATAGTGTATTAGTCATACCTTCTTCCAGAGATCTACCAATATTCTTTCCTTTGTAAGACATATAGAAGTAGAAGAGTTAACACTTAAGAACTACTACATATACTACTATTGAATTTATTACATGCAACGTTTCGAAATACACACAGATAGGTCCAAACGTTATCTTATTTTTACTTGAAAACGTTAGCTGTATGTGTTTCGAAACGAATTAGTATGTAATAATTTTAGAAGTAGTATATCCATATATCTTTTGTTCTTAATATTCTTTCTGTACAGTCAGTGTATGATGTATGGGGCTGTAAAATGATATCCATCCGAAGATGACTGTTGATGTAATGTGACTGTTGCTTGATATTTTATGCTGCTGTATGTTAAATCCGTTACCAAATAACATCTGGGATTCTTACGAAAAATAAATAATTCCTATATGTTTGTTTAGAATTCCAAACTTTTCCGTACAAAATGGCGCTTTCGGCTGATAAATGCAAGTAGGTCTTACTTTAACACCATCCTTTCTGTACTTTTACTTTCCCCATAATGAGTTCAAAATCAGTTTTGAAATATATCATAACTTCTTTCAAGTTCTGTACTGATGTTTGTTTTTCGTATTTTTAGGGATATTGGACAGGATGGAGATATTAATGTGTTTTGAAAAAGTTGGCATCCAATCAGTATGAATAATAGATAAGGATACAAATAAGATGCAGGTTTTTGCATTTGGATTCTTAGATATATATCTTCGCCGTGATAATGTCCTACAATCGATAGATATTCAAATGTTCATAAATATCTGATATGCTTTATCGAGTCTGATCTCGCCAATAACCCTCCATAGGTCACGCGACGTATTTGGCAGACATTCAAAATATTCTACAAAAGAAAACTGAAAGTAGACGCGATATATTGTCAGAAATAGCAGAATTTTATTGTAAGAAAAATACATTACGCCATATTGCTACTCGTAAAAAGTTTCTGAAATTGATGAATGTTTTTGTTTGAGAGTGTGTCAAGAGCAATTTCATTTTGTTTGAGAGTATTTTCACATTGATGCCTTTAAAAATGTATTTTGTTATAGGCTATAAAACACAATATTGATTAGAACTGGGATGTTTTTATTCTATGTTTTTAATTATATTTTCTTAGGTAGTGAACCGTATGAAAGTTACATAGTTACTCATCAAGACCCAATTTAAAGAGTCAAAAAAATTCTAAGATTTTCTTTTGAAAATAAGCCATATTCCGTAGTTCAGTAATCAATGAAAAGAATATAAAGAAGAAATTGTAAATAATGTAAGTAATATGTTTGGGTTTTTTTTCTGAACCAAGACATTTTAAACTGAACACGGTTCCGTGGCATTCTTTTTTTTTTTTTTAATCTATATAAGCATTATTATTATTCAGAGTCTTATAATATAAACCATATTATTCAAAGTTCCACGGGATTTCTGCATTTGTCAAAATTCCAATGACTGGGTAAAAGAAAAAGATGCCCACTGTAGGTAGGTTATGACTAAATTGAAAGACCCAAAATATAGCCCTAACTATTTTTGAGTCGTATTTCATAACATTATTGCGAAAGAGAAGCCAAACTTGTTCTGTGTGTACCTGACCTTTTGATAAGGTTTGATTGACAAACAAACTCAGAGAAAACATTTAAATGCAGACAGTTCTACATTAAATAAACTTACAAAGATTGAAGTTTGAAAAGTTTAAATCAAGATAATATATTTTTAAAAGCTTTCTTAAAAAATGATGAAATAGAAGTTACGCAATATCAAATTTGAACAAAGTAATTAAGACAATGCAGGTGCTAAAAGCTTTACACTTGTAAAGAATGATAAATGTATAAATAAGGTTAACCTTCGTTACTTTTAGTAAATATAATAACAAAATAATGATGCCAATAATAAAAATATATGACCTTTATGACTAGTTAACCGAGACTCTTATTGGATAGTTTCAATACTCGATCATCCAGCCCATCGATTTCTATTGAAATTTTTACTGATTAAAGATCTTTACAAAAGACAAAGACATTTTCATACTATCATTCTAAAATAACCCAGTTTGATACAAATATCAAAGAGAAAGTTGGTATACTCAGCTACCATGTAAACAGAACTGAATCTACAAGAAAAAACTTTTTGTCGAGTACTAATTGATCGATTTCTTATAAAAAGTTGCAATGACGTGAGTCATAAGTAAACTGTCCTTCGTTCAAAAACACCAAAAAAGTAAAGCAGAAGTCTTTCACGAACAGATAAACAGCTTTGTTTACATTTGTGTCTGTTATGCCTTTGGAAGCCTTCTCTTGTTTATATACTTTGACACTATTTTCTCCAAATTGCCTATATTTTATTAATATTGACAGAACTTCAAGGGCCTGTGGATTAACTATCGAGTTGGAACTTTCCCCAAAGAGTATTGAAAAATAATTTGGAAATGTATCGGCATATTTTTGTCAGTCAGTTTGTGGATTTATGAAATTCCTTTGGTTGTTAATGCGATCAATAATGGAAACTGATTAAATTGTATACATGCTGTTAGAATCAGATTGCATTCATTGACACCAATAGGCGTTATTAATATGTTCTATGTTTAAAATGGCTATTAAGCTAATCTGTAATTGTACACAGAAACACTACTATTATATCATTAAAATAAATCACCTTTCGTCTAAACCATTAATCTACATGTACTTACACAGATAAATGTTGAAACGTATAGTCTGAAGTACAGAAAGGTATCAATTTCTAGGAAATAAGATGGATTGAATGTAAAATATGAAATATAAATCAGACATTAACAATGTAAATAATACTCCATTATTCATAGTATCTTCAAAGTTAAAACCACACTTTAAGCAGTGGCGATGCCAGCTTTCCACGTCTGAGGGTACAAAAAAGGAAAAAGGGAATAGATTGACTCTATGGAAGGGGGATGGGGGGCTTTTAAAGTTGAAACCCTCCCATGGAACATCTGAGTTTGTTTGTTCTCACACCAAAGAATTTTTAATTGATTTATTGCATTCTGACACATATTTTGGTGCAAAAACGGAAAAAAGATCATATTTTCAAATTAGTTTGAAATGAGCAATTGCCCCCTGTACCGTCACTATCGCTGTCACTGACTTAAGGCCTACCAACTTTATATATTCAAACAGTTGTTTCGATCTCCCTGAGGTGCATTAGTAATGTGACAGCCAAAAACTTACAGATTGCTATTAAAAATTCAAAATATTGGAATCGTAGAAATAAACTGAATATAATTGTTACCTCGCTACAATAGTTTAACAGAAAAAAATCTCAAATTCAAAAAGTAGTTTAGATTGAACAGAAAAGCCTTCAGCTTAAAAACCAATGTGTTTTAATACAAATTACAAATACGGTGCTCAGATGGTTCTAGAGGCGGTTGACCTTCCGGATGCTTCAAATCATTGACCATGTGTATCCATTTCCTCGACAAGTATTATCTATGATAAGTGTTAAGTGCTAATATCAAGTTATTAGATGTAATTGTACTTTATCGAATCCGAAACCATCTGGCTCCATTTACTGAGAGAAAATTAAGTATGGAACATGATATTATTTCTGGACGTTTTGGCAAGGGAAGATTAAGTCCTGATAGTCAAGATTCTGATACCTTATAGCCTCCAGCTTCGTCTATCCTCAGACGTTATTGTGTTTAGTTTCAGATAAGGACAATGTTTGTTACGGAAGTAAATTGTGATTCTAGATTTACTCAAACACTGTTATTTTGTCACAAGGAAAAGATTGTTAGTCACATGACAAAAACGAAGTACCACTCGAGAATTCTGTTTTAAAATTGAATGTAGAGATATCTAGTTTTTTAAGGCTACTCATTTCTTATACAGCTGTGTTCTAGAAGCTTAAATGTTACATAAAAAATAAAGTCAAGATTTTAAAAAATGATGATAGAATTAAGAGTGTATATCAATTTGAGCGCTCGTATAACTTTCACCGTTTGCAAGTGTAGCTATCCATGGGATTCCATTCTTTGTCCTATTTACCTAAAAAATCCATTAGAGTCCCAAAACCCATACAAAATAAAATCTCTATACTTTAGTCAGTGAATGGTTTTAATTAATCATCATATTCATACACCTTTCCTGTTTACGGTTAAAACCTTCCGCTTCATTAAGTTCGATATTGATCTCGCTCTTCTACTTCCGGTTCAATCGATTTTAATGATCAACTGCTGTGTGGATTAGTAACACTGCTTGATCATTGGTTGGCTGTAATCATATTATCCAATGGCAAAGTGGAACTAAAAATCGGATTAAGTATTATACATCATGATCACATGAAAGAAGACGTAAATCACGAGTGATTTTGGAAATAAAAATGTTGAAACACACCAGATGTGAGAAGATGCTATCGTGGATTTAATTAAAAACATGCATAGCCTGAACGAGTTTCTTCAGAACAAATCTCAAATTAAATGAAAGTCAGCTACATTCTAATGAAATATCATGAGCTATATTTGCCTGGAATTCGATCTTGACGTAGGTAATATAGGTGGACTTTCGAAACAACGTTTTTATTAATCTCTGAACCACTGAAATTCATTTTTTTTATCTTAATCAATTAAGACCAAACGTTTTCCACTATCGACTTTGAATACAGGGTGTACAACCCCTTTGCCAGCATAAACCTGTCTTGCCAGTGGAATAGAAAATCTTCCATTTAGTTTCCTATAGAACGATATTCGCCAGTCGATTCTCCTTTTGAATATTTATACTTGTCTTGATGTGTAATTAGGTGATCTAATGTCATGTGTTATTCAATCACGGTATTAATTCCGCCATTTTATTATATTAATGTCTGATCAGTCACATAATTCTATAAAGCACGAGACAGCAGACGATCAGATCAGAATTCAAAATATTCATATGCATAATATTTAACGAAAACGTCTATTGCTATTTGCTTTTTATGTCATAGTCTAGATTTTGAGGTGCCCTCAGACAATAACGATTGATGATCGTTGCGAATAAGGATAGCATCCAATAAGTTTGGCAACCATAAGCTACTGGTAATCTCAAAGGGGTTGTAGTTGAAATAACGGTATTTGAATCCGAAAACTCTTCATTCGGAGCACTTACAACTTCTGTTTGCACCATTCCTCATTCGGTACATCGTTCAGAATACTCATGAAAGAAAATAGCAATTTACAAACTTAAGCGAAGTAGCAAGCCTTAATAGATACAAATGTTGCTAGTAAAACCCACCTTCACGATGCCACGCTATTACGAACTACGTCTTATATTAGTAATAACTTGACATTGTAAAGATGCTCAAAAACTAAAAATTGTCCAATCTAAAGACAAATATCACTTCACAAGTAAGAGGAAAAAGTTATGTCTGCAGAGCCTGAAAAAGCTCTTCATAAAACCCAAGAACAATACTTTTCATTTCCTTTAAATCCAATTACCAATCGATAGTAAAGAAGGTAGTAGTGGTCTGAATATGATGTAAAAATATTAATCATGATAAATGTCAAACACAGAATAACCAATATATTGATTACTATCATATTGTATTACATGGAATACTTTTATTATCAAATCTTATACATTATATTACACTTTGTTATTAGTTTGACATTTTGGCACCCATGAATATTTTTAGGAATTTTACATTTTGTATCATTTTGAAAGGGGACAGAGATTTATAACAACCTGTTCTGAAACTTAACTGAAACTTGAAATACATCAAATTGTTTTTATATCGTTACTGCCAATCAAAAATATCTGGTCACATGTTGTTTGTTCGTGGATTTGGTTCCAGACAATTATAGGAAAGTTTAACGGGAGTTTAGTTTCCCCATACCGCAATAAAGGCAGATAATGTCATTATGTATCACGAAAACAAATTTGGTCCTAAGGGTCGGCAATACCAGTCTGGTGTTTAAAGGGTTAAATATATAACCTTAGTTGACGGACCATCATTGCTTTCCGATATCTAAAAAAATCATTTTCAGTTGCTAAAAACTTTCCATACTGCACGTATCATTAGAGCATAAACATCTTCAACATTTTCATCACTAACAATCGATTTTGGGTTTTAATAAATAGCTAGAACTGACGTATCAGTTTGATTGGTGAAGATTATGTATCAAAATGTATCAACATGGTTTTGGCCCGAGGGAAATTCTTGGCCAGCAGAAAGCCACTTATTAAAATCAATTTGGATTCCCTGGTTGTTGGCAATCTTTTAACGCTTCTTGATTGATTTTTGTCGACAGCAACTGGCTGTTATTGGCTTCTGTTTAATGAACGTGGATTTTACAGAGAAAATAAGTAAATAGTACCCTAGGCAAAATACAGGTTTGTGACCCATCTATTGACAGATGTAGATTTGGAAATCGATTTCAGGAATTGTGTTTGAAGTAAACGTTTGAAAGAAATTTGGGTTGTGGCATCTCTTCTATAACAAACAATGAAAAATCCAATGGGTGGTTGTATGCAGGTTTCAAAATATCGGGCTATTGAGTTTATTGTTATGTACACTTTTAACTTTCACTTCCCCATAGTGTGAAAATTACATTTCATCCCCTTCTTAAGTAAAAAATACCGTACTATACATAGTAACAATAATTGTCTATAATTGAATTTAAACTTGTATCCTGGTTTAAAACAGAAATAGATCGTTGAGAGACGTGAAAGACTTTATTCGTGCTGTTCAAAAGTGTAATAATCGTTTCTAAATTACCCTTAATCACATATACGAATTGCTAAAAGGTTCTCTGTATCTTTGGTAGAAAGACGACAGTCACAGTTACAATTGATAAACTGTATTAGTCTCCGTAAGGCTTAAAGAACACCATGACTCATTGTAATGCCATAACAAATGCATGCTGTGGATATCCGTAATCGTAAACTAAAATAACATCCATCTACAATCAACATGGCATAAACTGAAAAACACCCATCTGCACACCCCTTTATTCAAGAGATCAGAATATTTATCTATTATTATAGTGATTCTAGTGAAGGGTGCTACACCTTTTACCTCAAAATAAAAAAAGGTAATCCCAGACTGTACTTCTCAAGTGGTATGTAACCAATATCTTTCATCTCTCTCTTTTCAGGAAAAGAAACGAATAGAAATGGAGAGACGATGGAAGAATTTATCGACCTGGATGAGATGTTTGGTTACCATGTAGCAGATAAGAAGGAGATTCCCCTCGGACACGATCAACTGGAGATAAAAATAACAGCACGTCCTGCCACTCCAGGACCAACATCCACAACCACAGCACAAACTAATGACGTCATCACAGATACTGATGACGAAGATAATGAAGCCATATCCGGTGCTGGATCTGGTTCTGGTATGGATGAAGATGAAAGCGAGGCGAAAAACAACGAAACCAGCCTTACATTTTTAGGTAAGATCTAATAGAATAGGGCAATTGAAAATCAAATTTTCCAGGAGTACATTTTTTTTTAAAGCATTAAAAGAACCACAAAAATCTAGAATATTTATACCACCTTTCCAAATAAAAAGAATATCTTTGTTCCAACCAAATCTACAACTCTATCAATCACAGAAAACCAACCTACGTAAATAATAGACTGATATGTCTACATTTCCGTTATTTAAAAGAAATACCATGACAGGGACTCCGGAGGAAGCATCTGGTAGAAGATGAAGCGCGTGTGTCATGTTTTATGTCAAAACGTCAAGAGTACAAGCAATCTGCATGCCACACCACATGTGTTCAAATTATATAAATTTTTTCTTCTCAATTTCTTTGCACTAGTGGTATTTTAACTTGGTCCTGAGAAATTCATAGTTATATAGCGTAGTTTCGTATCGTCAAACTTCGGAGGTTTTTTTCGTGTTCCAGTCTAAGATATGTCTTTCAATTGTCAATGGTAATCCCACGAGTAATGCGACTCGCTTAATATCCTTTTAACTTCTTCTCAGTCCAGTTTCGGTTTGACTTAACCTTTATTTCATTGGCTAATCACTATGTAGATAACCAATAATATTCCAAATTAACCATTCTGTAGGAGTCGGTAAAGAATACCAAGCTGAGATAAATAGAATTGAAGTGTGAATGACACTGAACATATTAATCAAATTGGAACTACACAGGCGTTCGACAATTCTATTAGATCTGACTGGATTCAGTCAATACAGATGCCTGGTTTTTCATTAAAATAACAGACAGATTTAAAATTTCCTATCAAGTTAAATGTCTTTAAAATGTCACCGATAATTGTCTTAAACAACCTGACTGGTGATATCTTCAATTCCAACCATTGATATTGTTTTTTTTTCTATAAAATGTGTCACACAATTTACTGTAAACTTCCATTTCATGTTATTTGTGCACACTCCCACACGGAATGGTTAGTGTCAATTCACATGTCGCTAAGAACCATTTCAAAGTCCCGAATGATTCGGGGTACAATTAATTGTACATTTGTAAGACAGGTACAAGTTCGGGTAGTCTTAGAAACGAGCTTTATGGAAAAATTAACAATTTCCAAAATAAGATGTATAATATAACTTTCATATATGACCATAATGAAACTTTTCATATCTATTTTAGATTCGGAAGGTGTTCAGTTGAACAGTGGCGAAGGTAAAATTCATGAATCAGAAGATTTTATCTTAACAGGAACAACACTGCCATCAAAAGGTACATATAATCTAACTAAAAATAAGCATTCTACATCCTCCATTATGCACACGTTTATGAGATTTATCCCGTGAAAGAATTAAAGGGATTTTAAAGAAGTTCTCTTTGGAGGAGTCCACTTCTATATTACGTTTACTCTCGATTTTGCCAGGCTTTGGGCGAGATTTTGATTAACGGAATTGTCTTGATTGTACCGATATTTATTATCTCTGAACTTTGTATGTGTATTGGGTCCATTTATGGTTTCTATTCGCATCATATGTGGTTCCTGTAATTTAGAACTTCTAAACTGTATCTCAAAGGCTAATATGTTAAGCAGTTTTTTGCGACTGTGACATCATAAAATACTAGTGGAATTTTAACACCCTCAATCGAAATAGTTCATTTGGATGTTAACAGTGTCCCTGATACACACCTACAATCCCATTAACATACCGTGCTAATTTGCGATTAGGGAAACGACATCCAATAAAGCTTACAATTTTGACCTTTATAGATAAGACTGCTTTCTAACATGGCCTCTTAATAGATTTATTACATTTTGTCTGCCACTAAAGTATACCCTGAAGCATCTTCTCATCATAGAAAGCTTCACTGCGTTGCGCGACGATGTTTCCCCATCGGAAACATCTATGTATTCCAATTTACATAAAGGACAGCCTGTTTACTTAATGCTGACTGTTACATCCTTTCAGCTACAACTCGTGTTTCAACAAAAGCCACAGATGCTGGTAAGTATACTTTAACCATCATCATCATCAGCCTCAGCATAATAGATTTTCATCATCAGCATCATAATCAGTCAATAGCATAATAAATCATCGGCATCGTGAATCTTATAATACCAGCATCATATATAGTCAGACATCGGCATCATCTTAAAACATCAGCATCATAAATAGTCAATCATCGGCATCATCATCGTGAATCTTAAAACATCAGCATCATAAATAGTCAGTCATCGGCATCGACATCATAAATCTTAAAACATCAGCATCATAAATATAGTCAGTCATGGGCATGGACATCGTGAATCATAAAACATCAGCATCATAAATAGTCAGTCATCGGCATCGACATCATAAATCTTAAAACATCAGCATCATAAATATAGTTAATCATCGGCATGGACATCGTGAATCATAAAATATCAGAATCGCCAATCATCAGGCCGCGTATTCTCGAAACGATCTAAGCGTTAGGATGTCCCGAGTTTTCATCGCTAAGATCGTTTCGAGAATAATTATGTTGCCTTCATCATAAATCTTAAAATATCAGCATCATAAATAATCATTTACATCACCTTTGGCAGCAGCAACATCATATTTAATCATCAGCATCATAAATGGTCAATCATCAGCATAATAAAATATGAATCATCAGCATTCCCATTGACATCAGCACTAGCATGAACATCGACAATTTCCTGATAAATTGAATTCGCTGTTATAACCGTACTATGATAGTAATCGTACTTATTCCACACATTTAGTTTTTACAAACTAATCAAGTAATGGCGAATGACAATAATATATCACGATAACGCTATTTTGTATTTTAATTAGATTCATCATATTGTCACGAAATTCGTACAAATATAACACGAATTTATATAAGCAACAAGCGTTGGTAGGTGCAATACGAACGTGTTAATTTCACCGAATTTATTGATTTAATGTGCCGATTTATATACTTCGCAATCTCAATACAATCAAATCAACATTGAACGTTATATTAAAATTGTGTATTGTTATTAAAAATGTAAATGATGGATTTTTTTTATTTAAAACTCGTGGAGACAGTTATCTAAGTTTTAGTAAATCGATTTAAATGATTTTTTTTTTAATGAAAAATGAAACTTTAAATATTAATAAATCTGTCATAACTATTTTTCCATTTCCCTAAAGACTGGGCTAATCCTAATGTCATGAAATCAATTTCGCTTACGACAGGGTTTTTTAATGAGTTTACATATTGACAATGATGATTATACAACAGTTGTGTCAAGATAATCCCATGCCTATTTCTATACAGTCTGTACTTACATAGCAATTGTGGCTGTTTCCATTATTACAAATGTATTTTTCGCGTTTTATTGGACGTGCAGCAAGTTATCGTGGTGTGCCTTCTCTGCAATCCATCCGTCCTCATAAGCCCAAACAGTTCTTGTTCTGAAAATTTATCTGTATGCAGATGTTTATTCCATCCATTTCGTACATTATGCAGTATACAAATTAAATTTTATCTTTTCGTATTTTGAGAGTCAAAATAACCTTTATAATTTATCGCGACGATCTGCTAATCAGATTGTAAATTTTCACGATAGATTTTGACAGATAAGTAACATTAAGCAAAGCTCGGTTGTCTCTATAAACCATAATTAACTATGAACTGTATGGACTATAGAAATAGCTTGATCCAGTGTAGCCTAATATCTTATACTAGAACGTGATTATTTGATTATTATTAAATTATTTTATATGTCGTTGTTGAGATCAATCTGGAGTCTACAATGTGATTAGTAACGTTATGTATACGTTTTATTTAAAGGGAGGGAATTCCCAGCAATTTTATTGGACCTCTGAGGAGGCTTATAATAATTCCTTAATTCTTTAATTATGACAATGTCTTATCGGTCAGAGAAATTGGGAGACGGTGGCCCATGTAAGGTGTTCGGCTGCACTGTACTTCGAAGCATTGCATGGTGGTACAATGAGTACTTCTCAATCTAAGAGAATCTCCCACAGGTCCATTGACTAGTATCAATGCACATCTGTTCCTCATTCACTTCCTTTCTAATATCCATATCAGAAACTCCTTGCTACTGTTTTCGTGAATCATTTTTTTTCCCAAAAAACTGTTCCTCCACACTCTTCTCTACTGTACTGACTTATCCACCATTGACCAATATACCTTCGACCTCTGCAATGTTCCCCCCCTATTATTTCCTCCCATATAATTACTCATTCTTCCTTTTTACTACCCCATGTTTGACAATTCCTCCCTACTTGGTCGTGTCTCTTCTTCCTGCCGCCGTCTATTCTTATTAATATTCCACTCTATTCCCCTCTTTATCTTGCTGACTTCTCTTCTGCTTGTTCTTCGCCGTGTTTTTACTCCTTTCCCATGGTCTCTACTTCCTTTAACAATCCCAAGCGTCTTTCTTTTTTTTGTTTATCTTCTACTTCCCTCTTTATCTATGTTTCTCAACTTCAGCCTTTCTTTCGTCGTTCTCCTTCTCTCTGGCACTTCTACCCCTATGTTTTTCTCTCTCTAATTTCCGACATGATTAGCCAAAATCAAAATTTATCACGGCTACTCAAATCAAATTGTATGATTTTTATACGAATTTTGCCTAATCTATTAATGTTAGGCAACGTTCGGTGGTCTCTATAAGCCAATATAGTAATATGGACAGTTTAGTATAAAGTAGCTGATGCCATTGAATCGTTTAGTCTATAAATTTCTGGATCCATTGCATCATTATTTTACATCGTTATTATCAACAATATACATCATCATCGGCAAGATCTATATGGAGTCGTCTTTCTAAACAATTTGAATTTCCACCGAATGTAAATGCAATGTGATTTATGTTAACCAATCGAGACTAATGTTTCAATCTAATTGACATCATGCCTTGTTAAAAATGTATCATAATTATTTTTCAAGCACCAACTAAGAAACCGGAAGCAGTACATGACCGTCAAGATAATGAAGAGGGTGCTGCGGATGGTGATATTGTCAACTGGGTTCTGCCAGGTACGATTTAATTCTCTTCCACAATATCTTTTGTAATTGTAGATTTCTTCCAATCATGTATAAATCCCAATCATTTAAGCAGCGAAATTGTTGCTGTTGATATGCTTTCTCATTTGAAACATCCACGTGTCAACTGTTTTGCGCCTGACACGGAGTTAAATGTAAGGTTCAATTCGTCCATGTTCTAATCTCTATGCTTTTAACTTTACTTTATTAAAATGTTTTGACAATCTTATTTGATTGAAAATGTTGGCCATTGAGTCTGTTGGCCTTTCATCGTTTTGCTGTAGCTATTTGTTAACTATAATCCTTCAAATGTACATAATCCACTTCCAGAAGAGGGTCGGGATGATGATGAAGATGAAGATGACGATATGGCGGATGGTGAGGAGATGATGAAGATAGATGGTGGAGAACAGAAACTTGTTACTACCACTCTACCACCCACATATAAACCAGAAATACCAGATATATTTGTACCACCCTATCTACCAGTTGAAGGTACGCGGAGCTTGTATCTATGATAGATTTCAGTTGAAATCAAACTGAAACAAACGTGAAAGCCCATAAGTACAGATATACGATGAGGCATCATAGACAAATCAGTTTTGCAGTTGTAACAGTTGTTGAGAGTCATTTGGAGTAATTGCCGGGGTCTCCGGTAAAGACTTAAAGCTAGCGATTTCTTTTTCACGAGTATTATGTAGGTTTATAGTGTTATAAATACTTTATTCCCAAATCTATTCAAAATAAACGAAAATACGAAAAGGGTTGAATAAGGCTTTGTCTATATTACCCTTTTCTGACGGGTGGGTCGGTGTACTGATAACTTTTTTATCATCTGGGTTACTTTTGAATATTTTGTTCATTATCTGACGTCTATCGTTTCAGCAACGGATCCCTGCCAGAAAACAGAATGTTATTTTGGAGCTGTTTGTAAATCTCGAGATCTGGATCACATCACCTGTAGCTGTGAGTTCAACTGCACCAAAGAAGACCTAATAGATATATGTGGAACCGATGGTGTTCTGTACCCTAACGATTGCTTCAGACGCTTGGCTTCATGTCAACAACAAAGGACCATTGACACTGCAGAGTTGAAATCTTGTCCAGGTTTGTGATGTTTCTATTCTTCATTAATAATGACAAAATAAATCAGGTCAAATGTTGAAAAAAATATTTCGATTAAAGCTTGTCTTTATGTCTTAGTGTAAAAGGTTACAAGATTTATGCTATACGAAAATGTAAGTGCATCTGAGAAACGGCTTAGTGGAGCATCAATTCTTAACCAGTATTGAATTCCACTGGTAAAATCGGAAAATGGAGAAAAAAGAACGTCGTCTTTGATAAAAAAAAAATACGTGTGCAGAGTGACCTTTGCAGAAACGTTAAAAGTCATTGTATACAGTCAGATAATAAAGGGTACATAGCTTATTGCAAGTATATACCTAGGTCAGAATAACAGAGATTCCATGTCGAATGAAAACAAAAACAACAGTCACACTTTCCAAGATTTGTTATATCTTATTGTCTTCATTTGATATACATGATGTGTAAAATATGTGGTTAGTTTACTCCAAAAAGATCAAACTAATGAAGCGCGCATGATCGCAAGTTGTCAAACAGGAGTCATATCGTCTGGGATTGTGTTATTTTATCTTTTCATTGGATTTCACTATCTATCTAACTGTTCTGTTCTCACTCTTGCTCTATTTCTTGTGAACACGAGAATCAAAAGATTTTAGCAGTTAACAAATTTAATCATCAAATATTCAACTCGACTGAATTCCCTCGAGCTTACACAGTTTCTTTGGAAACCATTTCATATCAAATGAAAACGTTTTAATTTTATAGAAAATAATTTTCGTTTCGGTAAATTACTAATATCATGCAAACAGCAAAATATAATTACGGGATCGATTGAATTCAACGTTTTTCGTTAAAACAAAAATCCTAGTTTTGTCATGCAATTTTATCATCCGATACAACTTCCTTATACAGTTATTTCCGCAGTCGAGATATCCACTGGTGCAATTTAATTTGATTTCTCCGATTTCAATAGTTCCGGAATAACGTCAACTATTGGATCTTAACTAGGATTAGATAGAAATGTTCAAACATTTGTACCAGAACAAACGGCGTCTGAGACCCCAACCTAGCCACATCCCGAATACACAAGTCTCTCCCATGGACGCTGATGTCATTATTCATTGATTATTGCTGAAAACTTTTATTGAATCAATTTTTCTAATATTTTTTTTTATTATTCATCGACATCCTTTTTCTTACTTTATATAAATTAGTTTTATCATATTTGTTTGGTGGATCTTTTTAATAACATAGGAAATTATCACATGGTCAGAATGACCAATGTCTCCCAAGGACAACCAAGGGAAACTTTAATAACATCTTGTCTCGGACTAGGCTGTGGAACTAGTTTAAAAGCAGTCTGATGATTGACAAAATGGTGCCGTTGGCTAAACGAAAGATTAATGATGCACGATTTTGGCAAGTTTCCAACTCGAAACCTCCGTATCCATTGGCAATGTCGTGAGATTAGGAAATATAATATTACATGCAATGAATAAATGCCAACATAATGTTTTAAATAGAATTTAAATGAAATAACCTGAATAATACATAGCCTTATTCAACCACATTTCAATTCAAATAGCTTCTACTTACTATATTTCCCTTTCTATATGAATGATCTCAAATTCAATTGCAGTCGTATAAAACGAGTAAGAAAATATACTTATACATTTGAATAAAATGAAAAATCTGTTTATAAGGTTGGTCGTTGAGAAACCTAATTATAAACATGTTATTAAATCACATTTCTATCAATTTATGTTTCAGCTGAAATTCAGTTGCAGTTTTAAAAACGTAAAACGCATTATTTGACTTGTTATTTGATTTGACTAATATTAAATCTGTATAAAATTTGTCGTTGTGGTATTTTTAATATTTAAATCAAAAGAATTGTACTGAAAATATTTAATGAAATGGTGTTTCTGATTGCAACTCCAATCAAACAGGAAAATTCAAACTGTCTTATATATTTCAGATTACAGTTTAAAACACCCCGATTTACCAACTTGTCAACTCGTTGATGGTACGTAATTTTCTTTTCTACCAGTATCTGAACTTCATACAATGTCTCTGCATTTTTCGTTCTGTATCATATTAACTGACTTACAATATGATCATCTGTTTTTTCTGGATCAACAATGCATTCAGGATATTTAATAAATCAAACGAAGAAAACCTTTGTCCCAGAAAGGGTAGAGTGACATCTTGACTTTCTCTTTGGTATTTTATTATATACGTTATTTAATCCAATTAATTTGAATGTGTGGAATCCTATTTCCACTGCTATTTGTGAACTTGTTAAGCTCTTAGTTGAAGAGTTACATTAGGGTAGATAATCCATTGATAATCTATTAATACTTCAGACATATTTGTTAACCTCGACTAATCCATGATGAGCTTGTTTAACGAACCATTCCTATGTTACACATTGTATGGAATGTAACAGACTTAGTCAGTCAATATCCAATTCAGTCTTTGATAACAAAGTTATATCACGGTCCACTATTTTACTAGTCTGATACTACAGCTTCATGAATCATGGACTTATGGACAAGGCTAACACCTCCTGATTTCAAATGACAAAACTTTATTTTTTGTGCTATTGATATCTTGTTTTGCAAAATTTCACAAAACCATCTGTACTTACGCATGTTATTGCTGTTTGGGGTTATCTAAGTTGACAGTATTATTCGTTAGGTGATGTCCGATATCTCATCCATATCTTACACTCTATGCGTTTCGAGCATCATTTATTCGTTAAACTATCATATTTATGTACCCCATCTACATAGCAAATATATATTACCACGATATTCTCGAATTCAATGTTTGAAAGCTTTCGTTTCTCAGCCTACAGACCACAAAAAGGACTGTCAATGTTACAAATAGTTGGTTTCCAACAATGTCAATTACATAAGTCTATAAAATAAATGAAATGAAATGAAAGGATATATTTGATTGCCATAATTCACTTAATAGAAGAGTGAGCGAAAAAAAAACCACAGAAAACTCTAACCAAGCTCTATGTTTTGATGTATACTAAAATAAAATGTCTCAATTGCAGCACCACGCTGGGGCAAATGGTCGCAGTGGATCCGACATGGCGATGTGGATATACGACTAAGATCCTGTGAGGTATCAGGTTTCGTAACTACGGGTCATTCAGCTTGTGAAGGTTCAAGAGTAGAAGCTAAAGCCTGTAAGCTGAAACAGATTGGTAAATGTAGAAATGACATCGGTAATGAAACTAGTCAGATGAAGTTTGCTTGTGATGGTATTGATGTTAAAGATACAATTAATGCTGGTGAGTTTGTGTAGGCTACATATAATACGATGATCCAAACCGACCAACCACACTAGCTTTCTCAAATCAACAATACCAAACCATCCAATTGATCCAAATCCTACAAAGTACCGTCATTATATCAACATTACCCTAGGCTGTGAATTTAGCTTGGGCTGGAAGCTGTCATTAACTTGTCGTCGACAAACCACACCAACGGGAAATGACATTACAAATATTACAGATTAGAAAAGTTTCTTCAATGGAACGAAACGATCGGAGGAATCGGAAGAATATGTCAATATAATGGATTCAGATATGTTTTCACCTATTCCTCTATTCCGTTTTATAGCTTACGTTATCCATGATATTGGCATGTGCCCCATTCACGGAAAGCAGCAGAAACTTTTTTTTCCGCTTTACGATTATCGGTCGTCATAGATTTAAGTACATGTATATCTTTATGTTACAGATTTGACATTTGGTCTGGTGGCTCATGAAGACGAATGTTTATACTCGCTGTATGATCTAACCAGGAAGAAGATGGTGTTTACTGGCTGGAACATCAGTCGAGTCGTCAACCAGGGCAGCTTGAGAAGATGGTGCAACAAACCAGAGCTATACATTATGTCCCATACTTCCCTTCACAGCTGTAAGAAGAGTCTGAAAAACCTGTGCAAGCAGTCCAGAAAATGTAAACGGGGTGAAGATCAGGGCAAGAAGAGCTTGGCAGATTATGCCCATGGATGTTGGAGAAGTTTCTTAGTTGGAAATCGAATTCCTGCTGGTCTGTCCGAGTTCGAATCCCGATTCTCCTTCATCTGTCAAAGGTTTGCCCTTGATAGTAGTCTTGGCAAAGTGTTTGGACATAAAGAGAGTTATTATGGAACCATCTATGATATAAAATCCCGTATACCAGTGGTGTCAGTGGCGGCTATCAAGAATCTAGGAGATGATATGTGGCCTGATGCTCCTTATATGATTGAGCATGGTAAGTGTATTTTCACATTCGTTGATACCTTCCATATGCAGGCTTTAAATGGTTCGCTATGTTGTATTCCGTTCAATATACACTCGAAATATCAGATCTCATTGCGTCCAAAAGATTGTGCGGCATTTTTGTAGTACGATATTTATACAGGTACGCAATTATAAGCATTTTGAAAGCTTTTGCGCTTGGCATTTTAGACATTTGAAGAGTAATAATCTCAAGAACCATTTTCCCATGACAATCTCCTTACCATAGTCATAGTAGTAGACATTCAAACCGTAAGAGATCAATTTGTTTCCTATTTTCAGGTTTATTTGAAGAAGATGCTTCATTTTTCTGGTTATTCAAAAATCAAAAGAAAGGAATGATGTCGATGACGGATCTGAAGCGATGTGAAACGGATTGGCAGTGTGAATTAGGAAAGAAGCAAGCACTTCCGGTCGACTTCGAGCATTCTGGTTACCGAATGGCTCCTTTGATTTGGCCAGAGTTGATCAGTGGAGACCTGGATGCTAAGATTTCTACTTTCGCGTTAACAAATATCGCTCCAATGCATCCTTCGCTGTACCCCTCATGGAGAAATGCCATTAAGGAAATTCGAAGATACGCGATAGAACACTGCGAAATTCCACCTAGCAACCAACCGACAAATCATGCCACGACTGCGTCGACTCTTCACATTGCTTCCGGTGTAGTCGCATCAAATGATCCAGAGGAAACAATTGGAAATGATATCAATGTTCCGTATTTATTTTGGATGGCTGGTTGCTGCGTTCGAGACAAGGATGTCAAATCGTTTGCTATTTATGCTCGAAATATCGCCGAAACTCGTGTTATCTCGTCTTCGGTGTTACAACTCGAGACTTTGCTTCAGGACATATATAGAGTGAAACCAAGTCGTATTGGACCTAAAATATTCCCCGGAAATGACGGAGCGTGTGGTTACATGAAGTTTGATGATTCAGACAATCTTATTTTATAGTTCCATTGACATAATTTGTGTTTACTTCAGTCGTTAAACACCGATTTCCAGGGATAATTATGGCATTTAGACTTTCGTCAAAATTTTTTAATCGAGGATTCTAAGGAAATCAGAAACATTTCACATTTTAATTGATGATTATAGGAATTAATTCAACAGTTCTTTAGGCGAGGTGAAGTATGTATTCAGAGGAGGTAATCGAGTATCATAGCAGACAACTAAGTGGTGTAACTATTGGAATCAGAAAGAATTCACCTCTCAGATCAAAACCAATTATCCAGGCAGAAAAGTAAGGGATGTAACTCTGCATCAACAGCTTTATCTATAAAGATAAAATACACGTGACTAGAAGTTGTAATAAGTATATACCCCGGGTGTTGAACTATTAAAATCTCAAATCAATGGTGATGGTAAACTTATTTGTCGAGGTAGACAATGCTGATCAAAGAAACTGACGTGCCGCTTCAAATGTGAATGCATAGAACAAGAATGGTATGCCATTTCGCTAGAGTTTTCGATTTAAACAATCTGTTTGTCATCTTTTTGTAAGAATAGGATCACATTTATGTATATGTATCTATTGACTCCATTACTTTGATGTTTAGTACACATTGCACCAACATAGGTAAATCATGAAATGTGTTCATTGAAACTCTGCTAGCGTAGATTTGATACAAACCTATGTACAATTTGAAGATAACTCGCTTTCTGAGGTAAACATTCTCACAAAAACAACATGTAAGAAATAATATTTATGAGTTCTGTTCGAATCTGCATTTCGGGACGGTGAAAGAACAAGGGGCGATAACCGCCTTCTACACACGTTTGTTGAAGGTTCACAAATTCACAGTTTAATTCTTATATATGTACTAGTGTATTTATTATTTATTTAAATCGTGTATAAATATAATGCTAGTGAGTGAAATCAGAAAGACAAGAACAAATGAATAATGATGTACGACAACGAGCAAATGGATCAACAAGAGTTATCTCCCTTTACATAAAGAAAAGGGAAGTAATTCACAATGTTGATCCGGTAGGATTTAGTGGTAAATGTATATATGTATATAATACTTATTTGTCATTTATAGTGAAATTATCCAATCAAGCACGCATTATGGTCTGAAATTTGAGTGTTCAACCGTTTTAGAATGTTTTCATAGGCCTACATTATGAGAACATTCCTGCTTACTTCATTTCTCAGATGCCAAATCAGGTTATTTAGAATCAAATGTAGAATTGATAATTAATCATATAAGCTTTCTTTCACGAGAATACGTACCCAACGTAATCAATAATTAGATAAGGCCGTGAGGCCTTTTCAAAATAGAAACTTTTAACGGCACTTTTTAGTACGAGAGGAGTTCATATTTACAAAACAAAATGTAAAATTGACTTGGTGCAAGTGTGTAGATTGGTTGGTTTGAAAATCACGGTATAAATCGGTCCCAAGTAGGAATAAAGGAATATTTAATAGTACGGACGCGTTGAAGATCCTACGTAAGAGAAGATAATTCAGTCAGGTTTCAGACCACATCTATTTAGCTGCTGTCACTAATTGCTACTGAAATTGTTATACTATTTTAGCTATTTGTTGTTTTATTTCTAAATAAAGGTGATAATAGAATACTCATTACTCAGCTCTGTTTGTTACATTGTACGGCTTTCAATAAAATTGTCACAAAAATTAATTATGCGTTTTATACGACCACAGCATATCTCTTGTCCGTTAGGGCATTTTTACATGTGAGTGTAACAGGCCAGGTCAGGTCAGGTCATTTGATAGGAATGACTTAACTGCTATGCGTCTGTATTTAATTTTCATTCCTCCTTTAAATTTATGTCTTACCTGTTCGAATAATAGATGACATGTTATGTCCACCAGATTTGAATTTTGTTGTGATAGAAAAAACAAAAGGTAGTTTAGACAATTAATTTCATTTCAGGACGGAAAAAATAGATCACAGAAAATTTAGAAAATCATTGGAGCAACACAATGATAAATTGAATTATCACAAGGAATAGCATTGAATACTGTACAGTTGATGCTGGATCTGAAATGGAAAAAAAAGAGAAAGAGTTCTAGTCTGGTGTAGTGCTGACTTTGACTTCAATAATAACATATTGAGTTCTCGGGACTCCGTGAAGGAAAAGCTGAGGCCAAAATGACTCATCCTTTCGTAGTGTGGCATTTGTCGTTATCTTTTATATCATATAAAAATTCTTTTTTTTGCTGTCGAAAGTTTTATGAAGCTAAAAACAAAAGAGGTAGTGCGTTTTGAGGATTACCCAGTCTCGTTCAGATAAAAGCAAGATTGATCGCAATACGGTCATAGTAAAAAAGGCAATTAAACGTATATCTTACTATTTCCATAATACATAGTCCATTCTGTTGGCTTTGGGTTCAGTTTTCCATTACTATCTTTGTAAGCTTCCTGAACATAACCGGGTTCTGAATTATGACGCTTTGGTGGCAGAGTTGGAGGTGGATTTTTGGTGATCGCCGGCCACTGAATGGGAACTTTGATGGTTTGACCACCGTCTGCTTGTTTCGGAGTCGGTCCTGGATCAGCTGTTGACCATGTTTCAACTGGAAATTGAACAACTCCTGGTGTGTATCCACCTAGGTTTGGATAAGGCCTTAGATTTATTGGTCGCTTTGCAGGACCTTGTATGATGGCGTCTGGTTTTTCCATATGACCAGGAGTGACTCCGTATGCTGGAAGAAATCCAGGACGACGTCCAATAGGTCTCTGTTGAAACTTTGGATTCCTCGTTACGATATTAAGAGGCGTTGGTGTAGTTTCTGAAACAAATTAAAGGGAGAGAATTGACAATTTTTCCAGCGCAGCAATTTCATTTGAAGGAGTAAGTTAAAGTAAGACAAGTATCGTCATACATCACAAAATCCAGCCTGTTCGGATAGGTATATTTCTGGTAGGTATTTGAATGGGCAGAGATTACAGAAACTAAAGGATTTAAAGGTTTTACGTCTTGTGTATCCGCCCCTTATAAGGCTAATCAATCAAAAATGGAAAATGAACTGTTCAACATAAATTTATAGTCAATTATTGCTAATTTCCAATTTTCTAACCTTCACACTTGGCTTTTAGTCTGATAGATTCAGCTTCAAGTTGAGCTGATAGTTCATTCATCTGCTGTCTGTTACAGATCATAGCCATGTTGTTGAAACACGTTTCATACACTGGCGGTAAACTGGAAGAAGAATCAAAACTTATGCCAATGAAGAGGTCTCTTTGGGTAAAAAGTTTAAATTGCATCTAGTAAACTGTAATCATATCCATGTCCCATGATGTCAATGTTGATTGATGATTAATAAAGTCTTCTCCAGACAATAATTAGAATTTAGACACAAGCATTCGATATGTTTTACTCATAATATCAATGTTTGTTTTTAGGCTATTGCTTTACAGATCAAAATAATAATACTTACTCGCAGGGATCTTGTATCTGACTGGCGTCTGTGGCATTACAGAAATCAAACATAGCTTGACATGGATTATCTAGAAAGTTGAAAAGAGTTAGACTATGTTTAAGAGTTTTGTTAAAGCCCTATGTTTCTTCCAGGGCTTTATTATTGTTCAATAAAATTACCACTTTTCCATTTTTGTGGTAAAATTTCATTTTTACAACAAAGAGTTTTGGAAAGAAGGGGTCCTGCTGCATATTAGATTTCACAGAAAAGAACTTTAGATTTGCTACCAATAGCCCATAAAGATTAGAGAGAAATAAATTATAGACATATACCTTCATTACACATATAAGGCGCATTGTCAAAATTCTTTCTTATATTCATAGCAACGTCTTTATAATTATCTCCAATATTCTGAGTGCAATTCCCAAGCATATCTTCAACACAACTAACATATTCATCTGCAAGACTAAAAGAAAAACATCAGAAATAGATTTAATTACCTAGTTTGGTTGTTAATTTCAACCAATTATGCTAAGTTCATTTTACACAAATTTAAAGGGTACTCACGGGCAAACTAAATCTGATTCTACAACTAGAACTCCTACTGGTGATAATTTACTATAACAATTATTGTAGGCTGAATCACACACTGATTGGTCCGAGTCTTTACCTACAATTAAACAGACAAGAATTCGTTATAAAAGAATGTCTAAATTTGCAATTACATTTTTGTTTCAAGTCACCATGAAGGAAAAGGAATGCATTATATGCACATGTTTTCCAATTTGGTGGAAGTTCATTAATTCCACACAAGCTTAGACACATCTTCATTAGACAATTCTTTTTCATATTTAATTTCGTTTCACAATCGTAGAGCAAATTATCACTTGGAGCAGTATTATATTATATTATCACAGTGAAGCAATCTTTCAACCTTCAACTTTCAAGTATACAATTCCAGGACCGATTCAACTTACGTTCGTCACAGAAGTATTTGCCATCAATAAAGAACTGTTCTGTAGATTGAATGTTATCTTGTATAATGGTTGTATATGTTACATCGCAGATTGAGGCATTGATTGTCATACACGATTTATAATCCTCTAGTAAACTGAAATGAATACAATAAAGCAAATACGAGGTAATCAGATGGTATAGGATAGCGATATAACTAGCCCAGTCACAGACTTTGTGTTTTACTAAAATTGTCCCCGTATACGGATAGCTATATCCCGAATGACAATAATCACTGTGTGAACGTTCGGTCACTCCTTTTGTCCCATTTCGACAAGCACAATTTGACAGTGTAAACGGCTACAATGGTTTCCAGCAGACCAGTGAAAAGAAACACCTAGATATTCTACAGAAATGTTCTAGGGACATACCTGCAAGCCAGTTCCGGATCATTTGTCATTTGAGATTTGTCTCGGATCTTGGAGCATTCTGCAAGTATTTCTGAGCAAACATCTAATTTCAAATTTGTCTCTGAAAATAAAAAACCCGATGTGCCCTATATATATAATGATAAGACCATAATTTTTGGGACAATATGGTTTTAAAAAACAAACGAGATATCACAAGTCAAGCAGATAGTGCTGTGTACCTATGTCAACTAGTGATTCATAGATCTGATAACTTTTTAAACCCTCTTCTTCGAGATATCTCATCTATGTTTTAAAGTACATGTAAGAAAAAAGACCCCAAAAATCATCACAAAAACATTGCTTCATGCCAAGAGTTTCAAGAAAAACTGGTAACCAATGTTTGGAATAAGACCATAATCCGACACGAAGCGAACTTCACCCATTTCAGAGTTATCTCCCTTAAAAGACTTCAACAAAACTGAGAACAAGAGTATTGATAGATACTTTGTGTCGGATATAGCAGCTTTAGTAAGGTCAGGCGTTTTCATTTTAACGACGGTATAAGAGGCTGAAAGCAGACACTTAGGGCGAATTTCAAAAATCACTGGCCTTGGCATCAGAACTTTTCTTACCTTGAGGAGGATTCGAATCCACGTGTAGTCTAATACCTACAATTGTCTTGCAATAGTTGTGTTTGTTTGATAAATGAGCGTTTATGGTATGGAAAGGTTTTCGGGACAGTCGAAACTTACTGAACTGAATACAACTAATAATTCGAACCATTGGTAGACATACGATAATTATACGTATAATGTTAATATAATTTGTCCTGTTAGCTGAAAATTATTCTGTTTCTTTTGTTTCTTTAACACCTTTTAGCTGCTTCGGCTGCGCTAGAAATACGGATATGGTGTGGTATAGTGTTTAAGATCGATGATACCATGCATTGTTCCCAAATTGACGTATGGATGCCATGATATATAGTAGCGCATGTTGTTTTGTTTGAAATTCGGATGGATAATCTTACCTACATTACAGTTGTGTGGAGGACCATTGTAATAATCTGTGTTTAACTGAAGATTTCTCTTGACTTCAGCTGTAGCTAGTAAATCACATCGTTCTACTATATCCGTAATACATTTTACATTGGTATCAAAGGCACTGAAATATAAGCAAACCACTTTACCATATATCATTAATAGGCATGCCAAGAACTAAGAGCAAAATTTCATCGAAGCTGTGATTGGTAAAAAAAAGAACTGAAAAATAATTGTTGATGATAATAAACCATGTACTAACGCTTCGAACCACAAAACAAAACCAATTGCCGGTACATTGGTGGCAGCTAATGAACTTTTCACATGAGGAAGTATAGCCTATCATGATAGATTACCTGCATATTAATGTAGAATCTCCGTTAGCTTTAAACTCAGAAGTTTGAAATTCGTTATAGCATGGCAATATTGCTTTATTACATTCAGTGGTGTTGAGTTCTGTTTACGAAAAAAAAAAGAATGAAAAGATAACAATGTATCAACTGCGACAACAAATAAAATATGTATTGAATGGGAAATTCGTCTTCCATGTTCTTTATACACTTAAGTCGGATACCCCTATCTGGAATAAGAATACGATTTATGTTATTAAATATTTGCTACTTCACACCTTGCAGTTCAAGAGATAAACCGTAGTATGAAACTCTATTCTACTTCTAACTAGTAAGGCGAACGCTTACTTCTGTTAGGATCTAATGTAGTCGTTGGAAAAGTTGTGGTCGGTATGCATTGGTACGGATCATTTTCTATGGTGTCATTTTCTATCTGGTCGATTTTATTCCGAAGCTCCGTAAACTGACTGGCATCACAAATATCTGCTATACTGGATAGACAAACTTTGTGAATTGGCAGGAATCTGGAATGAAGTAGATGCAATGAATAGAAGTAATATAGGTAAAACGAGGAACATGAGTGGGTTTAAATTTACATAAAAACGACAAATGCAACTATACAGTTTTGGGCCATTCTAAACTGCAGGTGTTTACATTAAAGCTGTTAATCATAGAGTGGAATAAGAGATGACATAAACATAACAACTCAAACAAAATATATTACTTACCCACAAGGTTCTACCATCCTGGCTCCAAGAGTATTATTACAATCATCAAACACTTTCTGACAACCATTGTCTGAAAATAAAAGATTTGTCGCAGATTTGAATTTGTATTCAATAATGTAAATCCAATCAGTCTCCAGCATTGAGAGTTTTCTGGATCATTCTCCATAAGGAGAGATGTCAAAGCACTGGCACCGTAAGACGGTTTCATCAAGATATCTCTTACCCGAACCACAGAAAAAAGGAACTCCAGTAAAGCGTTCAGATGACGTTTCAGCATTGTTACTATAGAACTGTCCGATTTGTGGAGTACAGGAATCGATCATGGTGGTTCTACATACATTGAACTCTTCTGCTAATCTACAATTAAACAGAGTAATTTAAGACGAAATCATCTCCATGCCTAATCAAGAGCACCTAGGAGCTTCTCATCGAATTTATTAATGAAGAATATGCAACAAACTAAGCCTGTTTAGTATAAGTCAACCTCTGGAAATGTTTAACAAAATAATGTGAGCTCCGGTTTATACATTTTTATGTGTCATCACCATTTCTCCACGTAGTGTATTCTATTTAATGACTGCAGCTAAGTCTGGTCAGAATAAAAGCTATTAGCAAGCAAAAACTTACCTGCAAACTTCTTGTGATTTAGTAACAGTTCTTCCAATATCTTTCAGAATATAATTACAGACTCTGTATGCCGAATCACACTCTGTCAAATTGTTAGCGATTCCTGAAAATGGCAATTGCCGAATCAAAAATCAAATGTGTTATCAACATTGAACATGACTATTCAAAATCATGTCAACTGTCGACCATGTATTGTTATCCATGATATTTGATATGAATGGAAAAAAGGAAAAGAAAAACAAAGACAAAAATGATGCTAAAAAAGGACATCATCATAAACAGAACGCACACATAAAATCAGAATTTGAATAAGCAATACGGTTGATCGCATAGTTTCGGAAGAAATCTTGTGCTGCAGGTTTTAAACTAGATAACAACACTTATGACACTTACGTTCTTGACAGAAATAGTTCCTCTGTATAAAATAAAGATCAGCTTGTTGTATATTCTGATTGATTGAATCCACAAAACTCACATCACAATCTGTGGTATTTTCTCTCATACAATTCTTATAAACTTCGTTAATTCTGGAAAATATTAAGGTTATGTTAATGGCTAAAACATAGCTTGTTAAATAAAGGTTTTTTTTAACCATGAGATGGAAACCTGAAGACAAACTTATCTTTTTAACCAAAGAAACATATTATCTCTTGTGTAAATCAACTATTAGTTGATTGAAATGAGATGACTGTTATTCGTTTTCTAATTGGTTACAGTTCACAAACACCTATGAAGGTGTAGAAGATATTGATTGGAACTTGCAAAAATGCAAAACATTAAAGGAAATTTATATCACATTTATATAGCATACAAGACAGAGACGCCATTGTGCTTATCTAATGTCGGATACCTGACTAAACCTATTGTACCTGCATCCTTCGTTGACATCAATATTCGTTTTAGCTTCAATGAGTTTCTTATCACAATTAGCTAAAGCTGTGGTGCAGCTGTCCATTTGAAAGGCTGGATTGTCAGAGTTCTCGAGACTACAATTATTAGGGGGACCTTGATAACCCTCGATTATACCAGACATACTGTTAGCTACTGAAGCTGCCGATATAGGATCACAAGTTGATGTTTTGTTGGCGACACATGATAGAGCTCTATCAACAGCTCTGAAAAAAACCAAAAATATGTAAATACAAGCTTTATTACGATATCAGTTGTCATCGAATTTGCAGTGGGACTTATAATACTAGTAGAATCCACATAGCCTTTAAAAACATAACTCTACGAAAGGACTTGGGATTATGTTTTCCAACTCATTTTCAATGTAAGCTCTTCTTCATCAGCAGGTGGAAATACACGAGAAAGAATGTGATGATAGTAACTTACTGGCAGATAAGAGAAAGAGTTCCATTGGCTTGAACTTCATCTTGATTGAACTGGTTGATACAAAACATAGATTCTCTAGCACAGTACGCTAGTCCTGTTGGTCGTTCTAAAAACAAATAGACAAGCTTGACAAGGACGATCATTGAAATAATGCTTAAAGTTTAAAAAACAGCAAATTCGTACTGGGATTGTTGGTTTGTTGTCAGAAACATTGTAAACAACCAGACATTCATAAACAAACAAAACTGAAAGCTTTTTGCTTTTATGGTTGATTATTAAAAAGGATGGCTTGATTATATTTGTGGAAATAGTAGCGGCAGATCCCCCCTCACCCCTCCAGATGTGTTACTTACTGGTGGTAGTAGATGGCAGTGTGGTTGTAGGAGGAGGAGTCGTGGATGGAATACCTACAATGAAATGCAATTAACAGTGAATAGTTACGCGACAGTTCCACTTAGCATTTGTGATATCAAATAGGCAAAATTAATATGAATATCGTCTACTTATGAGTTTCTTTATGAAAATAAAATGAATTGGCCTATATCCCGAATTTTTCTGAAATAGAAACAGATAATGGAACTACTCACAATTATTAGGATCCTGTTCTATTGTATCATTTTCTATTTGGTTAATTTTAGTCGTCAGGTTAAACAACTGTTCAACATCACAAATATCATATATACTGGACAGACACGTTCTGTATATTGGTAGGAAACTGTAAACATAAAAATTGTGTTACAAATACGTCCAATATCAAGCAGAAACAGGCAAAAAAAGCCAGCAGGTGAACTGCATCCAAAGGTAATGTTGGTTACTTACCCACAACGTTGTGATGTCGTGGCTGCAGTCAAAGGAATATAAATAAAGAACAGATTCTTACTTACCCACAAGGTTCTACCATCCTGGCTCCTAGAGTATTATTACAATCATCAAATACTTTCTGACAACCATTATCTGAAAAAAAAACAAACACTTTTCGTTCGCTTACTTTCCCAATTAACCTCCATTTCGAAAACTAGCTGTACTGATGGACTTGTGTATCTGAAACACGTGTGGGCGACATGAGACAGGATTTAGTCAATTGTTTTAAGGTTGCTGCAAATATTTTGACCTAAACAACAAAGAAAAGGTGTTTTACTTACCTGATCCACAGAAGAAAGGAACACCAGTGAATCGTTCAGATGATGTTTCACCATTCTTGTTGTAAAATTTCCCAATTTGTGGAGTACAAGAGTCAGTCATGTTGGTTCTACAAAGATCAAATTTTTCTGCCAGTCTGAAAAACATATCAAAACGCCAATAAAAATCATTGATACAATATCTAAATTGTTAAACAAACAATATCAATAAACATACAAAATGAACCCAGTCATCAAATATTGTAAAGGGCGTATGTTAGAAGTGAAAATTGGAGACATATTGAAGAAGGACAACCTACTTGCAGACTTGTTGTGATTTGGTAACAGTTCTACCAATATCTTGTATAATAGAATTACAGTTTCTAAAAGAAGCATCACATTCAGTCAGGTTGTTGGCATTTCCTGAAAAAGTAATCAAACATAGATAAAACAAAAACAGGATTTAGCATAGAAAAGACAATTAACATGTGATGATGTTAAGGCTAGGTTTAAGGGTTTTTTTTATTTTGGCGTAACTTAGATTCTTCTGCTCTTCAGTGTAGACGATTGATGATTGATTTTGTCGGCCAAGAAAGTTTTACTCGGCAAGGCTGTTACAGAAGGAGTCAAAATACTTACGTTCCTGACAGAAATAGTTCCTCTGTATAAAATAAAGATCAGCTTGTTGTATATTCTGATTGATTGAATCCACAAAAGTCACATCACAATCTGTCGTATTTTCTCTCATACAATTTTTATAAACTTCGTTAATTCTGAAACAAAAACCCAAAGAGATTCTGAGAGTAACTCCATGATCACCTGTTTAAAGTAATATATTGATATTGTACGCAAGAAGACATTAGCCATAGGAAAGTATGGTTGGAACAGCCTTATAATGTGAACATTCCATGGTTAGTATCGTCCATACTCGATTATAATAATGATATATTATGTGCAAAATCGTTATGTTACACTTATATGGCAAATAAGTTTGTGCTGGGCTTGGGTTGGATACTTACAGCCCAGACAAAGTCCGAAGTTACGTGAAAAATCTTTATATCACATTTATATAACATACAAAACAGACGCCATTGTCCTTATCTAATGTCGGATACCTGACTAAACCTAATTTACCTGCATCCTTCGTTGACATCAATATTCGTTTTAGCCTCAGTAAGTTTCTTATCACAATCAGCCAAGGCTTTGGTGCAACCATCTAATTTAAAGGCTGGATTATTAGAATTCTCGAGACTACAATTATTCGGTGGACCTTGATAACCCTCGATTATACCAGACATACTGTTTGCTACCGTAGCGGCTGATATTGGATCACAAGTTGATGTTTTGTTGGCGACACACGATAATGCCTTGTCTACAGCTCTGAAAGGTAAATGAAGCAAATAAATAAGATTTGTTACAAGTTTTGAACTATATTTGTTGATGAGTTGACCGGAACAGTAATAAACCATGCTAAGTTCAAAACTATCGCCTTCTCTAACATCCATATTATACAATGGTGACGAACCAGGATGATACCGTTATAAGGTGCTTCGTAGTCTTAAATGAGAGATACCTACTGGCAGATGAGAGAAACAGTACCATTGGCTAGATATTCATCTTGATTAAACTGGTTGATACAAAACATAGATTCTCCAGCGCAGTACGCTAGTCCTGTTGGTTGTTCTGAAAGATTAAAAAGTACTAACTGATTAGAAACTGGTGGAGATCTTTCATAGTTGTAAAATTTTATTTATTCTCTGTGATCTCTAATGAACTGTATGCATTAATCGTTCCCTAGATAAAGATAGCATACAAGGAATGGCTAATTAAAATCAGTTCACACCGGTTATACTTGTTACGCTATGTACTTACCAGTAGTAGTGGTTACAGGAGGCGTGGTTGTGGGAATACCTGCAAAGGTTTGATATTACACAATTTTATCATCTAAATCAATCTTAATGAACAGACAACAACAAACAAGCAAAAAGAATTAAAATTTAATAAAAATTACTTCGCTTGTAACAAAACAATATACATTTACGTCTATGCTCTTGAATTTAGTGGAGACTCACAGTCATTAGAATCTTGTTCTATGGTATCATTTTCTATCTGGTTAATTCTAGTGGTCAGGTTAGAGAACTGTTCAACATCACAAATATCAGATATACTGGATAGACACGTTCTGTATATTGGTAGGAAACTGTAAACATAAACATTGTGTCCAATGGCAAAAACAGACAAAAAAGCTAGGTGGTGAACTGCATCCAATGGAATAAAGGAATAAATGTAGGTAAATTACCCACAGGTTCTACAAATCAAACAATAGCACAAATAAGTTGTGATGGTCAAATAAAGAACAGATTCTTACTTACCCACAAGGTTCTACCATCCTGGCTCCTAGAGTATTATTACAATCATCAAACACTTTCTGACAACCATTATCTGAAAACAAAGGAAACAGTTCAAGTCATTGTCTTCTTCACTCAGTAAGGTCGCTTATATTACTTGTACGTCGAAAGTTCAAAATTAAAATGTTAATCCTCCTTTCCCAAACTTTCCCTACTAATGAAGATTGTATATCTCAAACACTAGCAGGACGAAACGGGCTCTAGTCAATTATTATGAGGATATTACAAAGATTTTAACCTAAGATAATACTTACGATAAAGCATGGATCAGTTTTTGCAATCCAAAAGTCGGAAACCTGAAACAGTACCTATTTGACTTACCTGAGCCACAGAAGAATGGAACACCGGTGAATCGTTCAGATGATGTTTCAGCATTCTTGTTGTAAAATTTTCCGATTTGTGGAGTACAAGAGTCGGTCATGTTGGTTCTACATAAGTTAAATTCTTCTGCTAGCCTGAAAAACAAGAACAAGATATTCTAGTCATGATTGAAGGCAAGAGGCATCAATCATATTCACTAAGAATGTAATAAATCAGTATTGTTTGCAATTCAGAATATTCTTGTTGTGGTTCTGCTTCATCATATCCGCATTTTCGCATTAGTATATAGACCCAAGTTATTGGAATTCACCACTTAAGTCTTAACAACGAGAATGGTTCATATAAGAAACTTACTTGCAGACTTGTTGTGATTTGGTAACAGATCTACCAATATCTTGTATAATAGAATTACAGTTTCTAAAAGCAGCATCACACTCAGTCAGATTGTTGGCAATTCCTAAAAATATATCAAGAATGGTAAAAAATTCTGCCGCACCTGCATATGGAGTTGCTCACTCGCTCAACGTTTTGTTCCAATATTCGAAATTTCATAAAGTTTTTTCCTGATAATGGAGGTGACTGGACAAGGTGGTCCTTGCTAAATTCAAATGACGCAATCGGTTTACGTGTGAAGGTTGAGAATCGCAAGGAGCACATCTGATAAGGATATCATTCATGTGAAGCTTTATACAATCCAACTTACGTTCCTGACAGAAATAGTTCCTCTGTATAAAATAAAGATCAGCTTGTTGTATATTCTGATTGATTGAATCCACAAAACTCACATCACAATCTGTCGTATTTTCTCTCATACAATTTTTATAAACTTCGTTAATTCTGGAAAAGATTAAATATAACGCAACTTGGGGACCGATTTCTGATATGGCATTTGCTGTAACATATGTTGTAACTTTACGAGAACACTCTTGAATATTATATGAACACGGATCACACTTCTGGATGAAAAAAATCATTTAAAATTCACCGCCTTTTACAAAGCTACCATCTACGTATTGTTAAGAGGCGTGGTTGAAACGACGATGTTCCAGCGTTAGCTTCAACACATAGATGTTATTTACCTGCAACCCTCGTTTACATCAAAATTCGTTTTAGCATCAGTTAACTTTTCATCACAAGCAGCTAAAGCTTTGGTACAAACATCTAATTGAAAGGCTGGATTATCTGAATTCTCGAGACTACAATTATTAGGTGGACCTTGATAACCTTTGATTATACCAGACATACTGTTAGCTACTGAAGCAGCTGATATAGGATCACAAGTTGATGTTTTGTTGGCAACACATGATAGAGCTCTGTCTACAGCTCTGAAAGAAAGATTAATATGTCTTTACAGCTGAAATTCTTACTTCTGAAGGATCAAGATTCCAAATGTCTGGATCATTATCATACACGACAATAGATTCCCTGCTTATGTAGATACGGTCATATAAAACCTGTAACAAATCGATCGTAGAATCTCATGATGGTTGACTCATCTTCCTGATAGTAATGGGCTATCAGATTTTAGAAATGAAAAATTTTACACATGGAAGAATGTCATCGAAATCTTCAAATGTGCAAAACTTACAGGCATATAAGAGAAACAGTGCCATTGGCCCGATATTCATCTTGATTAAACTGGTTGATACAAAACGTAGATTCTCCAGCACAATACGCTAGTCCTGTTGGTCTTTCTGGAAAACAAACGGATCAAGTTTTGGTGAAATATCAGGTGTACCCTATTTCTAAAAGTCAGTAATTGAATTCAAATCCTTTGCATCCAAGGACGATTTCTGAAACCACAAAATGTCGCTCACTACTGTATCTAAACTGGCTAATATTGATATCAAATGAAAGTTGGCAGTATGGAGTATCATGGATAATACGGAAAATATCATTTCTAAGCGGTTTTGAATCTGGGGTTGTTGTTCTTGGAAATATGTACTTTTTCTAAATATTTTAATTTGCTATAGTTGAGAAAGACATGATTCACGAACTTGTTTATAAAAGACAAAATTTACCTGTTGTAATCGATGTTGAAGGAATTGCTGTTGTTGTTGGCATACCTGAAATACGAGTTTTAACCTGCACATTCTATGACTGTTATCTAAAGCTTCTGTCCATAAAAAAAACAAATACGAACCATCCGAACCGCAAAACGAAACCCGAAATCCAAAAACAATGTTATGACGAAACATTTGTAGCAGCTAATGAACTTTTCACGTGAGAAATTATTTCAATCATAAGTAAGTATTTCATAATGAAAAATGGTACCAGGTGTCCAGAAGGATTAGCATATATGTATTGTCTTCCTTTGGATTGATTCCTTTCGATAATACCTCTTACTTTCCCTAAGATATAATGTTTTGTCAAGTCAGCATTTCGACCCTATAGGTAGGTATTATCCTAACCGTTGAGTAGATTATAAGAAAATAGGAATACCTATACTATCTACGTTTGTGGATTGAAATGGTATCGGTATACACTTACAATTATTTGGATCTTCTTCGATTGTATCATTCTGTATCTGGTTAATTCTTGCGGTCAGGTTAGAGAACTGTCCAACATCACAGATATCAGATATACTGGACAAACACGATCTATAGATTGGTAGGAAACTGTAAAAAACAACCCAAATGCTGCAGAATGTTACCCGAATCTTCGTTTTTTTTTCTTTAAATTGTTTAATTACGCTATATATTGTGCTGGTTAAAGTATTACATTTTTGTATCATTTTATTATGTTTATTATGAATTTTGGAAATGTATTTAATCTATGTTATTTGCTTACAGGTAAATAAAGTTACAAGATAAAAAAAAGTTAATCTATTTGTGAATCCAACATTTCGAAGGAAAGCAAGAGAACTAACTAATTAACAAACCAAAGCAAATATGACGGAACCTCTACAAATACAATAATTACATACCCACAAGGTTCTAAGTTGCTGGAACTAAGAGTTTCATTACAGTCATCAAATAATTTCTCACAGCCGTTCTCTAATCCACAGAAGAATGGAACGCCAGTAAATCTTTCAGATGATGTTTTAGCATTTTTGTTGTAAAATTCCCCGAGTTTTGGAGTACAAGAGTCAGCCATGTTAGTTCTACACAAGTCGAATTGTTCTACCAACCTGGAAAAGCGGTGAATTAATACAGATTGCTCAGCATGTATGCGAGGCAGGATAAATTCAATATAAACAAAATATATTTCACAGAAACTGGAAAAGAAATAAAATGATACGTACTTGCAGACTTCTTGCGATTTGGTAACAGTTCTACCAATATCTTGTATAATAGAATTACAGTTTCTAAAAGCAGCATCACATTCAGTCAGGTTGTTGGCGATTCCTGAAATTGCACCAGTAACAAAATATATGTAAAATGTCTAAAATATACCCAAGTGTGAGTTTATCAGTGCCTTTATTCCAAATAAAGAATATAAAGTAAACTGTTAAGTGTATGTGATAATCAGATTGCAGAATTACTTGTACACGTACAGCATACATTTTCTTTCTGGCTGTTAGGGCTCACGGAGCGTTAAGGAAATTCAAGATAAATGAAACTTTAAGAAAGAATCCCACCATGACTTACGTTCCTGACAGAAATAGTTCCTCTGTATAAAATAAAGATCAGCTTGTTGTATATTCTGATTGATTGAATCCACAAAACTCACATCACAATCTGTCGTATTTTCTCTCATACAATTCTTATATTCTTCGTTCATTCTGGAAAAGACAAAAACCTCCGCAATCTGCTACTGCTACTGAGACTGCGAATGAATTCGAAGATGATAATGATGATTCTAGAGATGATATTCATTGCTGGGATTGCAACCAAAATTCAATGATACCTGATAGTACACATGCAAGTGTCTGTGATAGTAAATAATTTTATTATCTATGCTATCTGAAAATCTACAGTGATCAAGGTGTGTAAGCATCCTTTAAGTAGTATCACTCTATGCTGCAGAGGAGATATTTCAGAAAAATTCAGACTTGCATCATTTATGCTTACCTGCATCCTTCGTTGGCATCGAATTGTTCCTTTGCTTCAGTTAAGGTTTCATCACAACCAGCTAAAGCCTTAGTACAACCATCCAATTGAAAAGCTGGATTTTCAGAATTCTCGAGACTACAATTATTAGGCGGACCTTGATAACCTTCGATTATACCAGACATACTGTTAGCTACTGAAGCTGCTGATATAGGATCACAAGTTGATGTTTTGTTGGCGACACATGATAAGGCTCTGTCTACAGCTCTGCAAAATAGAAATTTCAGTATAAATTTGTTCAGCTTCCTGAAATCAAATGAGTACTATTGTAGAACTCTCAAGGGTATTAAAACTCTGAGTCTGACCTGTTTCATGTCAGACATTGATTGCATCATATGTGTATGCAAGAAGAGCTTTATAAAAATTAAAGTTGTTAAAGATATATGCAAGTTCTACCTGTACATTATTCCTTATTATAGTAACCAAATCAGTCGATTGTCACTGGGATGAGAAATTAAGGCCGAGCAATAGACACAGGCTTTTGATCTTAGAATGAGATACCTACTGGCAGATGAGAGCAACAGTTCTATTGGCTAGAAATTCATCTTGATTAAACTGGTTGATACAAAACATAGATTCTCCAGCACAGTACGCTAGTCCTGTTGGTCTTTCTGAAAGGCAAAATGAAGGCCTTTCAAATTGACGTCTGGACCAGAATGTGAATCAAAGAGTTTTACGAAATCAAGAAATGGGGAATATGCATTCTTTGAATTTTAAGTTGGTATGAAATTAATTGTATGTGTATGGTATTGGTATTCTAGGAAGTATCATTGCCGAAATATTACACCATGAACCAGTTTGTAAACACGAAGAAACTAAGTTGTTATTCAAGAAAAAAAAAGCTACAGTATTAATATGGTATGAAATTTTAGTAAGGGTATCACCTTATTATATCATTATATTTCATGACGAAATGCTTATATAAATTTACCTGTTGTAGTTGATGGTGTTGCTGTTGAGGGAATTGCTGTTGTAGTAGGTATGCCTAAAATACAATTTAAGTTACATTCTACATCTTCTGTTTGAGGCCTCCTGATCAAATGCCAGCATTCTTAAACATTAATCATTGGGATGATATCATATCTTAACACATTGTTTATTAAAATACTTTCGACCCAACATTAGTAAATAAAGATATCCGACCTCTCGCACCTCAGTTGTAATGAGGGGTTTACGAAATCTTTGTGTTAATTGCGAAAATGTGAAGTGATATTTAGCTTCTGTCTATTGAAATGGCATTGGTATACACTTACAATTATTAGGATTTTGTTCTATTGTATCATTTTCTATCTGGTTAATCCTAGTGGTCAGGTTAGAGAACTGTTCAACATCACAGATATCAGATATACTGGACAAACATGTTCTGTAGATTGGTAGTAAACTGTAAGTAGAAGGTAAATTTCACAGGATAACATCAGAGACCTAAAGTTCGGTTGTCTTCAGTAAATTGTTTTTAATTGATGTTCAACGACCAAACGCTGGTGTTTGATTTTATTCACAACAGAATTGACTTGTCACATCTTACGCTACTAGTTCTAGATGAATTGTCACAATATTTTCCCATTTGTTTTTTATTTATTCTGGACATTCAGTTACCTCTATTATGAGTCCAACAGTATTTCCACGTTTGGCAGAGAAGCCACTGAGCAAAAATAAATATGACGGAACTTCTATAAATACAATAATAACGCAATAAAAACTGGAAATTTAATATATGTGTGAATCCAACATTAATTTCAATCTTGGGAAAGGTAAAAGAACTCAATAAGAGCAAATATGGGCGAAGCTCAAAAATTACAAAAACCACGTACCCACACGGCTCTAAGCTGCTGGATCCCAGAGTTTCATTACAGTCATCAAATAATTTCTCACAACCATTCTCTAATCCACAGAAGAAAGGAACTCCGGTGAATCGTTCCGATGATGTTTCAGCGTTCTTGTAGTAAAATTCTCCGATTTTTGTTGTACAAGAGTCAGTCATGTTAGTTCTACACAAATCGAATTGTTCTACTAACCTGTGAAAACCGATAGGAAAAAATATAACATACAGCATGTGAGTGAGGCAGAATAAATCCACAATGAATTAAAAAATTATGTATATTGATGTGATTTCCGAATTGTTACGATGCATTATTTAGATGAACACTACAGTAAATGAAAAAGAAATAGAACGATACCTACATGCAGACTTGTTGTGATTTGGTAACAGTTCTACCAATATCTTGTATGATAGAATTACAGTTTCTAAAAGAAGCATCACATTCAGTCAGGTTGTTGGCGATTCCTGAAATATGAATTAAATAGAATACAATCGATTAATACAATATGAAGAGCGCGATTAAGAGGGTAATAGTTAATCAATTAATAACTGGTTACCGCGTGTTCAAAAAGAAAACTGCGACATTCAGCTATTCCTGTTAGCAAAACATACGAAGTGTTGCTTGTGAAGTTAAAAAAAAGATCAATAGCAATGAAAGATGACTTACGTTCCTGACAGAAATAGTTCCTCTGTATAAAATAAAGATCAGCTTGTTGAATATTCTGATTGATTGAATCCACAAAACTCACATCACAATCTGTCGTATTTTCTATCATACAATTCTTATAACCTTCGTTAATCCTGAATGAAAAAAGCAAAATCTTCCTTAATTGCTGCTAATGCTACTGATAATTTTAGTTATGACGCGGATATACCAATTTTGATGATGCTGGTGATACCAATAGAGATGCTGATGATGGGGCTGATACCAATTATGATGATGTTACTAATACCAATAAAGATGATGATGATGTCGATCAAGATTATGCTGCTGATATCGATGATAAGATGATACTGATACCAATGATTTTAATGCCTATGCTGCTGATGAAGATGATGAGAATCATACCAATTATGATTACGTTACTGTTATCAATGAAGATGTTGCTGCTGATGATGAGAATGAAGAGGATGTTACTGATACCAATAATGGTGATGGTGCAGATGCTGCTGAAAACAATGAAGATGATGATGCTGATACCAATGAAGATGATGATGCTGCTGATACCAATGAAGATGATGATGCTGATACCAATGAAGATGATGATGCTGATACCAATGAAGATGATGATGCTGCTGATACCAATGAAGATGATGATGCTGATACCAATGAAGATGATGATGCTGCTGATACCAATGAAGATGATGCTGCTGAAACCAATGAAGATGATGATGCTGATACCAATGAAGATGATGATGCTGCTGATACCAATGAAGATGATGATGCTGATACCAATGAAGATGATGATGCTGATACCAATGAAGATGATGATGCTGATACCAATGAAGATGATGATGTTGCTGATACCAATGAAAATGATGATGCTGCTGAAACCAATAAAGATGATGCTGCTGAAACCAATGAAGATGATGATGCTGATACCAATGAAGATGATGATGCTGCTGATACCAATGAAGATGCTGATGCTGCTGATACCAATGAAGATGATGATGCTGAAAACAATGAAGATGATGATGCTGAAACCAATGAAGATGATGATGATGCTGATACCAATGAAGATGATGATGCTGCTGATACCAATGAAGATGATGATGCTGATTCTGCTGCTGCTGCTGATGATGATGATGGTGGTGATGATGTTGATTTCGACAATGATGCCTATACTGATGATACGTATTTTAGAGAGTTTGTTTGCCGGTTATTCCAAAGATGAATGAAACCTAACGACCTTGTTGTACATAAAGTTATTTGTGATAGTAAATACAGGCTTGTAAAAATTCTAATATATATTCAAGGTAAATCTACAGTTTTGTACAATGGTTGACTCTAATATTATCGTGATATCAAGCCAAACTGCAAGTGAGGTATTCCAGAAGAAGCCCAATGTCCTTGGCTTATTTTATACTTACCTGCAACCATCGTTGGCATCGAATTGTGCCTTTGCTTTAGTTAAAACTTCATCACAATCAGCCAAAGCTTTAGTACAGCCATCTAATTGAAATGCTGGATTTTCAGAATTCTCGAGACTACAGTTATTAGGTGGGCCTTGGTAACCCTCGATTATACCAGACATACTGTTAGCTACTGAAGCTGCTGATATAGGATCACAAGTTGATGTTTTGTTGGCGATACACAATAAGGCTCTGTCTACAGCTCTGAAATAAATGACAATGAAGATGTATAGAATAATGATAGTAATCAGTGAGTAATAAAAAATCACAAATCTAACCTAAACCAAGAAACAAAATCCAATACGAAAAATTGATTTTTGAAGATTAAGTACTTTGTAGTGGATTTCAGTAATTAAGCCGAGAATAGGTTACACTTTCCACACATTGCATCAATCACTTCATTACAAGATATGCTATACTTACTGGCAGATGAGAGAAACAGTTCCATTGGCTTGAACTTCATCTTGATTAAACTGGTTGATACAAAACATAGATTCTCCAGCACAGTACGCTAGTCCTGTTGGCCGTTCTGGGAAAATAGAAATATCACGTTCGATGAGGACGGTCAGTGAAAAGTCAAAGCGTATATATGAAAAGTAGATCTTGGTTGAAACAGAGAACGCTGATATGTGTAGGCCGGGATGTAAATAAGAAGCAGCTTAATCTTGCTCTGATTACCGCAGTCAAAACTAATCTGACAAGGAAAAGTTAGATCAGATCTAAGCTACTTAAAGAAGTTTGGTTCTCAATAACAACAATACCTGTTGTAGTATATGGCGCTGTAGTTGTTGTTGATACACCTAAAATATATAAGATCAGATGTTAAGCATTGATTTTTCACGTTATCAATAGACAATTGCGTGTATACAGCAAACAAAATGTAAGAATACTTGACTACAAAATGGAAATTATTTACCTGTTGTCGTGGTTGGCGGAATCGTGGTAGTGGGTTTACCTAAAGAAGAAATCAAGATATTGATACCGTTATATCTGCTGAACACAAAAGGAACGTCACAATGTAAAAGATTTTTTCTTTCAAGCACATGTTGTTAAACATCTATACTCCCCACCTCCAAAAGAATCAGCTGGAATCAAATACATCAAATGCAAAGCCATAGCTTACTACCTTTTAACTAAAGTCGAATGTCGATGACAAATTGGAGAAATCGGTAATACGTTACTTTACAATATTTTGAAAAGTGTTGGCAAAAGAGGCAGATTATACAACATCGATAAGGACAACCATGCTTACACTGATTGGGATCTTCTTCGATTGTATCATTTTCTATCTGGTTAATCCTAGTGGTCAGGTTAGAGAACTGTTCAACATCACAAATATCAGATATACTGGATAGACACGTTCTATAGATCGGTATTAATCTGAAATATAAATACCGGCTTCTGGGACGCACGAGATTGCAGACAGGCATGAACTAAGTCTCAGTGAATCAAAAAGGCTATTTGGTTATAACGCTTAACACATTTATGGTGAGTGGACAATTTTAGATGTAAAACAGTACTCTGTATGCAATATGAGATATAGAGCGGACACTCAAGGGAATAAACACGAAAAACGGTAGGATCATTACAGGTTAAAAGGTTCTGGTAACTGATGGGACAAATATTCGTTTGACAAGTTGAAGCCTTTCTGAAGACATACCCACAGTCATCCTCTTCATTTCCACTCAGTGTATCATTGCAATCAGCAAATAATTTATTACAGGCATCGTCTGAAAATAAAATGACGATAGAAAGCTTGATTTAATTAATCTTAGCGAGAGTCTAATAACTAATTATGACAGATTTCGAGTGGACAGTGTCTTCCTAGTTTCCATTTCTGTTAACTTATACCCTGCCTATCTTGATGTCATAATCATCCAAAGTATTGAGAGCCGCTGTTTTGATTTCTGAGCGGGCACCCTTTGAAGAAGTAAATTACATAAAGAAGTTTACATACCATCATCACAGAAATAAGGTCTCCTATTGAAACTGGCTCGAATATTAGTTGCTGTTTCTGTATAAAAGGCTCGAATCTTCGTGGTACAGTTTCCAGAAATTTCATCGATACACACTTGAAAATCATCAGCAATCCTAAAAAATGTAATTTTGACTGATTTTGATCCAGCCTTATTTTGCTATATTCTTGTTAAATCTACAACAATCTTGGATCTGATTATTTAGGTTGAAAATTACATAGGTATTTTTGCTAAAGCTTATCCGTGTTCAATGACGAAAAATGAATTTTTAAAGGACTTACGGACACACATCAGTTGAAGTTAGAGCATCTCTGCCAACAGGTTGGAGTCTTGAATTACATTCTTTGTAAGATTCGTCACATATCGTAAGGTTATTGACTAACCCTGAAAACAATTAGATAGAAATCAATCCATGCAATCATCAATATTCAACTGGTTGTGTATAATTAATGCAATAATGGAAAGCAATGGATTTGGATCGATATTTTGATTAAAAATCTGAATGTGTTTTTAATTCTTTACTTAGTATAACCCGCTCACCCATCGACCATGAAACCTCACCGTAACTGAGTTTATTAACTCATCATCCATTTTGAAGAGCCCACATTGAAAATTGAATTCAAATTCTTTTCACCTTTTTTAGATGTTGTTCTCTTCAAGGCGTACCTGTGATAACATTTTGGTGATAACATTAAAATAACATGACTTACTTTCATCACAGAAGTAATTTCTATCAGTAAAATACTGATCAGCATCTTCAATATTTCTATTGATGGTATCTTGTATTGTAATATCACAGGAAGGAGTGTTGTTTGTCATACATGACTTATAGTCATCGTTTAATCTAAAGATACAGAAAATAATACTGATTTTATGATATTATTATGTACATCATTAATAAAAACAGTGAAAGAACTAGAAAACTCGAGAGGCTAACTTGTCCTATTTATAAACCTGTTATAAATTCAAATAGTGGTTAGATGAAAAGAAAACCTTATTACGTTGCTCACATATAAACCTATGAGACAGATAACCAAATTCGCCATTAAACTCGTTGATCAGAGACAAACTATGACAATCTGCTAGCGAATAGGACACTATAAGTGGTATTTTTTCATTGTCTGATGGTGTGTCAATAGTAATGTTTTTGTTGTTTTTCAATATTCAATGCATTTTACAAGAAGCTTCATATTGAGTTTCATTGAATACAACTCACCGACATGCCTCAGAGGGGCCGGTCGTTTGTTTGGCTTGGTTTAAAAACTCAGTGCAGTTAGCTAGTTCTCCTGGACATCCATCTAGCTCTTCAACTTTGTTTTCTAAAAAAAATGGCAACGAATTGATATTCATGAAAAGTAATGTCGAACATAGCATTGCCTCGTAGAGTGCGTCAAAATTGGCCTTTCAAGAGTAAAACGTAGGAAGGAAATGATGTTATTGTTGAATTTAAAGCATATCATCCGTCACAAAACAAAGCCTTCTCTGGTTGTACTAACTAATGATGGGTACAGGACCACAAGTATGTCCAGTAGGAGATCAAGAGCTTCAAGCCTTACCTAGTGTACAACTGTAATATAGTGTAATCTATTATATATACATATATATGTACAACTATAATAAGGAGAAACAGAATATAGTTCTATACTTACCTAATGTACAACTATATGGAGGAACGGTATACTGTTCTATTACACTGTTCATACTCTGAATGACGTCAGCAGCTGCTACTGGATCACACCCAGAACTTCTATTTTTAATACAATTGATTGTTTCATCTACAGCTCTGAAATTTTAGAACATCAGCTTTTTCAGGAACTAAGGTTGGGGATGCAGGTTTAAAGATGATACTGTGATAGAATGAATCATGAGTGAAATCGTTTGCCTATCTTAACTTTTAACACATCATCCCAAATATGGTTTGAAGTCGAATGGTGTATACTTTCGTGTTAAACAAAAGATATTGATCGAAACTAGTCATTTGTAACAGCTATGACAGAAATATTGTAAAATTTGACAAATACTTACGAGCAGATAAGAGGAACAGATCCATTAGCGAGATATTCATCTTCTTGAAATTTATAAATACATGGTAAAGATCCAGCGGCACAATTCTCTACTCCTGATGGTAATTCGGTTGTTGTTGATGGCGACTGTCCATTTGTGGTTGATGAGGTCGACGTTATCTTCTCACTTGTCATTATGTATGTCGACGGCATGGTGGTTTCTGTAGAAGGAGCTACTGTTGTTGTACCTGCAAGATGATTCACAAATGTCGAAAATACATAAACCAGATAAACAGTTTAAATTCTTGAAGGGACTAAAGACTTGATCCTGATGTGCAATCCCTTTTTGTATTTATTGAACTTCGGAATCTATTTTTTTATTCTTTTTTTTACTATGAATTGAGTGAAGTATTCAGTAGTTATTAAAGATCATTTGTAAAGATTAGTATGTAGTTAACATTATATGTATGGTAATTTTGTAAAATTGTACTTACAGTAATATGGATCTCTGGTATCATTTTGAATCTTTATAATAGCTGCGGTTAAATTATCAAATTGCTGTGCTTCACACAAGGGCGAGATACTTTTCAGACAGATATCGTATGTTTTCATCCGCCTGAAGAAAAACGGTTTCTTTCGTTTGAGAGATCTTCCTGTTGTTATTATTTACCATTAGATAATCGCTTTATAATATATGATAATTGGAATTGAGTTGTTTAATGTCCATTCTGGTCTTCTAGCCACATGGATCATCGGGAAGGAAACAACATCATAATCACAATGGATATTACATGTTATATACTTACTCACAGTCTGTATTGGTATTAGGTGATAAAGTATTATTACAGTCATTGAATAAGGTTAAACAAGCATTTTCTGAAACAGAGACAAAGTTAAATAACCAAGTGGAAATCAGCAGAACTGGAGAAACACCAGTATTCAGAATATATATAAGAGTCTTATGCCTTGTCTAATTCTAGTTTATCTCGGTTTACAATATTACACACAAATTGGAACCAATACCACAACATATTCATTCGTATTCAGTAAACCTCAAAACAAAACGTCTTACCGTCAGCACAAAAGTAAGGTTTCTGATCGAAACTGGAAACAATATTGTCTCGTGTTGTTAAATAGAAGTTTTTAATATTTGTTGTACAGTTTCCCACCATTTCATCAACACAAATATTGAAATCATCAGCAATTCTGGAAATAAAAGGAAAACGATATAATCAAAAATTGATCACGAGCAGTTCCAAATAGTTCAATTAAGGTATATTTGAGATCAAACTGTGATGCAAATATAAGAAAAAAGTGGACTTGGTGTTTCTATCATTTAATGCATCTCCTTTTTTGGTTATTTTTGTAACCAGATTTATGTGGAAATAGAGTCTTTTTCAAGTAGACTTACGGACAGACTTCTGATGATGTGAATCTCGTACGACCAATAACATTCAATTTCTGGTTACAATTCTGGAAACCTGTGTCACAGTCAGTCAAATTATTAACCAGCCCTGAAACATATTAAGGTTACAGCGTGTAATTTACCATTTAAAGACTGCTTGATCCAAAACCCAATGCATAATTAATACAGTTATTCAAATATTATTGATACATGATCTTTTAAGAAATACAGATTGTGAGGCTATAATTTCATTTGTACTTACTCTCATCACAGAAGTAATTTCTATCCTGGAAGAATGTTTCAGCATCCTGGATATTTTTGTCTATTGTTACCTGGATATCAGCGTCGCAAGATGGTGTTCTGTCAGTCATACAGTTCTTGTAGTCATTGTTGATACTAAAAAGATTAGTGTTTAAGATGATATCAACAAGGTAACGCTAACGCAATCATGAGATGTTTAAAGGGGATTTCTGGTGTTTTTCTGGTTTGGATGAAATTGTAGCTTTATATTGAGCAAATTCGCTAAGCATTATATATTAACAGTTTGCAATCCGTTCAGTATATAACTCTATGATCAGCAATTGCAAAAGAAGGACAATTGTACGTACCGACAAGCTTCATTGGGATCGGTTTGTTGCTTAGCTTCATTCAACATTTCTGTACAGTTAGCTAGTTCACCAGGACAACCATCTAGTTCTTCTAATTGATTTTCTGGAATATCGAACGATAGTTTATTGGTGATGGCTACAAGCCAATGGAATTGAGTCTTATATTCTATTTTCCTGCGCTTGATTGGTTGAATAAAGGCTATGTAGACAATGACATATGCATACTTTCCTGTGATCAGATTAATCGTTTGACACTCGATGTTCAGGGAAAAATACCAGTGGCAAATCATGATCACAAAATCCGATTATGGTTTTACTGTGCCAGTTCTATCATTCTACTAACCGAGTGTACAGCTATACGGTGGAACAGTATATTGTTCTATGACACTGTTCATACTCTGAATGACGTCAGCAGCCGCTACTGGATCACACCCAGAACTTTTATTCTTAATACAACTGATAGTTTCATCTACAGCTCTGAAATATAGAAACACCCAAAGCTTCATCTACGTCCACTGTCACTGATATTAGATTTGACTAGATTGCGTTTAGGGCAAGACATTGAGATAGAGAAATCGTGATGTATATTAAGATTTTCTTTATGGAATTTCAGCGTGTTGGAGACTGTGGTCTTGAATTAGGCGTTAGGCAAATATCCAAATTAGGGCTGAGGTGATTTACAATTAGTAAAAGAGATGCACCAATCAACGAACCGATCTAATCGACAGCCCCTTTGAAATTTCCAAAGAGACGAATATGTCACTTACGAGCATATAAGAGGAACTGATCCATTAGCGAGGTATTCATCTTCTTGAAATTTATAAATACATGGTAAAGATCCAGCAGCACAATTCTCTACTCCTGAAGGTAGTTCAGTAGTTGTTGGTTCCCCTGTGGTTGATGTGGAGACCTTTGTGGTTGTAGCATCTGTAGTTGATTTTACAGTTGTTGAAAGTATCGATGATGAAGTCGTGAGTGTTGTGGGGGCCTGAGTTGTACCTGCAATCAGAATTCCAAGTTTGAGAGTATGTAAATAATGTGTTGTGTATTAGTTAGTATAGTTTCAATCATCTGCAACTCCAGTGCTAGCTTTCTTTAAATAATCAGCCTTGGAAGAAACGATAAGCCTACTCGCACATAGATAATACCAATATTATAAATTTATTGTTATGTATTGTCCATCCCCTCTCCTTTGTAGCTCATACATGATAATGTTTTTGAACACGTATTCATAAGCAAAAGATTTAAATTTGTCTTTTAGGTAGATACTTACATAGATGTGGATCTTGTGATCGAGTTTCACTTTGGATTTGCTCAATCACATCAGTAAGATTAACGAATTTCTGTGCATCACACAGTGGAGAGATACTGGTAAGGCAGATGTCATACATATTCATAAGTCTGAAAAATAGATTTAGAAAAACACAATGATTGGAATCATTGCATTGACTTGAAAAGGGTCAAATTATAGATATTTACATGGATGTCAGTTTACGCCTTTATTCGAGAAAGTAATTTATTTACAGGCCGTAGTTGTCGCGTACATGATGTTCCAGTCCAGTCAGAAGCTTAATACTACTATAAGCGTATCCCAATCCATAGTTCATTTATACCGGACCTGTTGGATCCATAACGTATTTGTTTAGTTTCCGCTAAATTGGTGAAATGCGATGTATCTATCTACTTACTCGCAATCTGTATTGGCATTCTGAGACAAGGTGTCATTACAATCATTAAATAGGGTCAAGCAGGCATTCACTGGATAAAAGAGAAAAGATAAATAAAGAAATAAATTCACTATTAAATATGTGGTGAAAACGCGAGTGTGCCAAAATAGTAACGGTGACGAAAATCAACTAACAGAATGGACTTATGTAAAGACATGATGAAACATCGGAATATGAGAAACATACACATGGGAACACAATTGCGATGAATACATGCTAAGATGTGTATACTCTTAGCGGCGATACTGAAATTACAACACATTAAATAACTACATGTATTTGAACTTGACGATCGATAGTTTAAATCATAATTTATTGTTTTATGGTAAGGTTGTTATTAGTATTAAAAGGCACCTTACCATCAGCACAGAAGTACGGTTTCTGATCAAAACTGGAAACAATGTTATCACGTGTTGTTAAATAGAAGTTTTTAATCTGTGTTGTACAGTTTCCCGCCATTTCATCCACACAGGTATTAAAATCATCAGCAATTCTGAAATAGCATAACATGTACATTTGACACACCTAAATCAGTTAAATAAAACCGATGCCCTCAGTATAAGCCGAAACTTACCGACACACGTCAGTAGACGAAAATACAGTATTTCCAATCGGCTGTAGTTTAATGTTGCAAATATTGTAGCTGGTATCACATACAGTTAAATTATTCACCAATCCTGGAAAACATAAATTACACATTATCATCCAGAGTCCAATAAATCTATTCTTTACAGAAACCGTATATCAATGGGCATCACAACTTAACTATGGCTTTTCCGCCAGATACTTGGTTCTTAACCTTCTGGATCCTTGGTACCCATTTTTACATATAGCAGCGTCCTGTCATCCTATTTCCTTCCGTTGGTACTTGTACACCAAGAAAGTACAGGTATCCTAGTTTGGGAAGGGCGCTAGACCAAGTGGTGCTGTTTGTTTCGTGGATTTGCCAATTCTGTCTGACGCCTATAACTGGGAACTAAACGGTATATTTTTTAAATCAAAAGAAAACAGTGTTCTTACTCTCATCACAGAAGTAATTTCTATCCTGGAAGAATGTTTCAGCATCCTGGACATTCTTGTCTATTGTTACCTTGATATCAGCGTCACAAGATGGTGTTCTGTCAGTCATACAGTTTTTATAATCGTCGTTGAGACTGGAAATAAAATGCTTTAAATGTAGAAGAAAACGACCTATTCTCAATGATGATGATGTTTGAGACAAAGTTTCGATCAGCATGAATAAATTGAAAACTGTACAGAAAGATGTATATTTTTGTTTGACATACAATGTATTTTCTATATCGGCGCATCATGCAAGGTAATTATCTTACAGCGTGATACATTATATGACTAAAGGCTACAAAAATAGTCATTAACATGGTTGAAAATCTTAGTCACCCACCGACAAGATTCAGAAGCATCAGATTGTTGTTTTGCTTGATTCAAAAGTTCTGTACAGTTAGCTAGTTCACCAGGGCAACCATCTAGTTCTTCTACTTCATTTTCTGAAAAGATTGCATTTATAAAAAAAAGATGTTTGCCTCCAACAGATTCGGCCAGATAAAGACAGTACACCCGCAAATATGTGCACATTTGTCACATTAATTGATTCCGCCCAAAAGTGTACATTGATAGTATGGTGTATGGTGTACTGTTATATTATCCTCACCAGGAATATAACCATAATGAGACCCGGTATACAGTACTATTCTTATCAAATGTACAATTATAAGGAGGAAAAGTATATAGCTCTATACTAATCCAATGTACAACTATGAGGAGAAACAGAATATAGTTCTATACGAACCCAATGTACAACTATACGGTAGTACAGTATATTGTTCTATTACACTGTTCATACTCTGAATGACGTCAGCAGCTGCTACTGGATCACACCCAGAACTTCTATTTTTAATACAACTGATTGTTTCATCTACAGCTCTGAAATATGGAAATCTATTGAGTGACATAGATATGGAAATAAACTTATGAGTACAACAAAGTGATAAATAAATGAAATGTAAAGTTGAAGGTCTGAATAGCATCTTTTTCATGATCGCTATCGACATTCTTACTGACTGTAAATTGGTCCTAAAATGGACAACATGGACTCTGGTAATCCGATTTCTATATATTGTTTAACGCATAACAACATATTGTCACTGTCAGAAGTGCAAGTCGACCGAATTAAATATCTTAATATAGCTTACAGACATATAAGAGGTATAGATCCATTAGCGAGATATTCATCCTGTTGAAATTTATAAATACATGTTAAAGATCCAGCAGCACAATTCTCTATTCCTGATGGTAGCTCTGGTGTTGTGGACTGTGTAGTTGTAGATGCTAGCTGTGTTATTATAGTTGTTGTTATTTCTGTGCTTGTACTTGTTAGCTCTGTCGTTGTAGACTCTGTTGGTGTAGTTGTTGACTCTGCAGTTGTTGTTGTTGGTTTTGCAGTTGCAGTTGATGGTTCTGTGGTTGTAGTTGTTGGTTCTGCATTCGTAGTTGTTGATTCAGCAGTTATAGTTTTGAGTTCTAAAGTTGTAGTAGTGTGTTCAGCAGTTGTGGTTGTTGGATCTGTAGATGGAGTTGTTGGTTCTGTAGTTGTAGTTGTGGTTTCTGCAGTTGTTGTTGTTGGTTCTACAGTTGAAGCTGTTGGTTCTAAAGTTGGAGTTGTTGGTTCTGCAGTTGTAGTTGTGGGTTCTGTAGTTGCAGTTGTGGTTGTTGGATCTGTAGATGGAGTTGTTGGTTCTAAAGTTCTAGTTGTTGGTTCTAAAGTTGAAGTTGTTGGTTCTGCAGTTGTAGTTGTTGGTTCTAAAGTTGTAGTTGTTGGTTCTGCAGTTGTAGTTGTTGGTTCTAAAGTTGTAGTTGTTGGTTCTGCAGTTGTAGTTGTTGGTTCTAAAGTTGAAGTTGTTGGTTCTAAAGTTGTAGTTGTTGGTTCTGCAGTTGTAGTGGTGGGTTCTGCAGTTGTGGTGGTGGGTTCTGCAGTTGTACTGGTGGGTTCTGTAGTTGTAGTTGTGAGTTCTGCAGTCGTAGTTGTTTGTGTAGTTGTAATCTCTGCGTTATCATAACAACAATACATACAAATGATTATACAACGTGTACTGCTGTAATAGCTTATGAGAATTGTAATCACCTCGGTTTGAAAACTGTGGAGTTTGTTAATTAAAGCTTTTTTCCCTTATTCACCTCATAGGAACGTTATCTTAATCCTTTCAAACAACAATACCTTGCTGGGTCAATAGGTGCATTAAGTCGGATAATTGACAAAACAGGTCAAACTTACGACATCCGTTGGGGTCTTGAGCAACCAATTGGTCTTTGACCACTATTTGTGAATTGTAAACATTTCCAATAACATCGTATGGACACAGTCTTTCTTGTAGTATAGTACCCAGGCATGGCTCGATAACACCAGCCTGTCTGGAATAGGATACAAATTAAATGGAGTTGTACACTAAAGCTAGCCCTAACCTTCTCACTAGAGAAACTCCAGAAAAAAACAGAAAACGTCTTTGTAATCCTTTCATAATACAAAATACATGCGCAGAAAAAAATCCATGAATTACTAATAAGAAGATTACCAAAAGAACAGAAACAAGAATTATCAGCTTAAAGTAAATAAGATAGATAGGACAGAAAACTTACTGACAAGGGTCGGTAACTCCTGTTGTATAAGCATCGTAGCATTGATTATACACGTTCATACAAAAGGGGTCTGAAACATGATAATAATCGTAAAAACAACATACTACAAAATAAAATTATTATTGGGAATTATAAACCAGCATAGACAATAAATTGATATCTACGATTCTCCTGGAAGTGATAGCATTGCACTATCGCAATCATATAGTTGGTCATTAAAACTAGCAAGTGCAGGTGATAAAGCTATGGCGGCAGAAAGTTTTATTTTTTTCGAAGGTTTGCGGTATGACCGTGGTAAGTGGATATTCTTTAGTGCCAATCCAAATCTTGCCACAAAGAGTTTGTTGTTCTAAGCTAGGGTTATTGTGGCGTCTTTCAAATTGATATTCTTTAAAAAGTCGTCTTTAACTAGCTCTTCTTTATGGAGTTTGATACACATAAGACATCAAGGAGCTCCTCTCTAAAAGCAGTGTTATATTTATTATTTTGAACTGAGTAATTGTCCCAATGATTGTGGTTATTTGGATATTTTGAACAACTTACAGCATTGTTGTCCTGAAGGATCTTGTTGTATCAGTTGAGTGATGTATGGACCCTGATTGTTGCCAACAACCTGTAGATCAGCTTCAGAACACTGTGATGTCAGCTCGTTTAAACACGACTCGATATTAGTCGCTGCCCTGTGAGTTAAAATCGAGATACAATAATCACAAAAATATCCTGGAATGGTGATGAATAAATAAACTAAGTACAAACGATCAGTTGTGAATAGGAGCAGGTTAGGAACCTGATCTCTAAGATGTTATTATCGTTAATGATTAACTCATTGATTTTGTCAACAATTGGACTTAAAGGGGTTGGATATATGTATATTAACAAAAAAACCTAGTACTAACGATCCGAACCGCAAAAGGAAACCCGAAATCCAAACAACATACTGGTGAAACATTGGTTACAGCAAAAAATAATGAGCATGCAGCATTAGAGATTTTGACTTACTGACAGGGATCGGTTGATCCAGTATCTTTAAACTGTACACAGGAGTTTAACAGATCAAAACAGGAAGGTGCTACAATGACAAAAAATGTAAAAACATTGCTCTTTGTATAGGATTTTGACTCGTCGCAGCGGCATTTAGTTCATATCATACTAACAGCTATGCTAGAGATACCCAAAATTAGACAAATAAAAGCCTTGTATTAGAAATATTTTAGTTAGATTTGACTTACCTGGTGTAGTTACTGGTAGTGGAAGTCCACCTGAAAGAAACAAAAGAACATTTGAACAATAGCCTGCTCTTCATGCTTGTTTTTCAGTTCGCTTGTGATAACCACGTTGTGATTTAAATACAGCCATCAAATGTCTATTTCTGATTCTTTAAATGGTCAGGATGATCTGATGAAACGGTACTACATATGCAAATGATAACAACTTCGATTCATGTGTACCATTTAGTACCTCTTATATCATCTGCGTTGAGGTCTCTTTATCGGTGGCTCAACTACCAAAGGGGACCGGTTGAACCAAGTCCACGGACCCCCACCACAACCCATAACCACTTTTTATGATAATTGGGAAATAGATGATATTTAAGATATTCAGACTTTAGCTAGCTGGACGATATCAACACTTGCGTCTGCTTTATCGGTTGCTTTACTTACAATTGTCTGGTGCTTCAATAATTGTTCGGTCTCGAGCTGCGTCTTCAGTCGCTAAAACTGCTTCAAATTCTGTTGGGTCACAGCTGGGTTGTACGTTACTCAAACATGGGTAAATCGCATTGGCATAACTGGAAAATTAAATGATTTTTGATGTAAAATATGCTACTGATTAAGTCGTGATATCAAAGAGTGATATTTGCTTTACCAGTTGGTAGCATTATTCAAACGCAAATCAGATAGATTCGGTATCAGTTGGACATCAGAATAGAGACTTATAATCCATCTCCATTAACGGAAGGGGTTTTGAAACGAGGCACGTAACACTCCATTTGATCTGTTTTACTAATTATAATAATTATAATCTGTATTTGTGCTGATATGGTTTTAAAGGAACACAAACTCCATCCATTTCAGAATTTTCATATCATTTTACATTGTATGCGTGGTTTCGAGGTAAGTATCGTAATATGATACATACATTATAAATTCAACTTACTCGCAAGCGTTTTGCATGTTAGAATTGTCCAAACACTGCTGGTAGAGATTGTCACAGGCAGTAACTATATTCAATATAAAACAACAGAGGGGTTAAGTAAGAATATATATATTTATCTGTATCACTTTTCAGTTTGAAAACTCTAGGCGCGATTCGTATGCATTTAGAGCCTCGAAAGTAACCACAATTTGATTAGTTTACTTTCGCAAGTCATTGTTTCCAGCAGAAAAAGAAAAGAGAAGGAATTTAACTTTATTCAATTACAGCCAAATGCCAAACTCTGAAAAGTTTTTTCATCTGATGTAGATGATTATATTCTATACTTAAGGGATCAATTTGTAGCAGGGGTCAGATTTGTTTTCTTATGATTGTGAAATCATACAAGCTATATCTGTACATCAGATGATGATCTAAACGTTTTCTTATCACGATCAGTTTAATTAGGTTAAGATGAGACGGCAGAATGAATCTATAGTTTAAATATCCACTCATTGTACCCAGGCAAAATCTTAGAATGTCAGTGTCTATGTATGAGAGAGGTCTTGAATGTACATTATTATATGTCCTTTGAGGAATATTATATGATATGAGACAAACATGCTCATCCTTTGGGAACACCTGATGCCACTCTTATTCGTAGCTCTGCATCAATAATGGACAGTATTAGTCTAATATTGTTCATTTTTGTATATGTACGGAGAATGTTAAAAAAATCACTGGTGAAAGCTGCAGATAGTGTTAATGCTATGATAGCGTTGACGAATATTAGTATTCATAGCCAATTTGGCCTAGAAAGGAAAATGCGTTGACTATCAGATTTCTATATGATAAAAGCTCAATTCATGCTGCTGACACGTGTTTCGAACATAAAATTCTCGTTCTCATGAGACAGAATGTTTTCCTTGTATAGCTGTAACAAGAGACAATTAAAGATACTGAGCTGAAGCTTTGCTTCGAATAGTCAAAGATAAAGTTATGGATGTTAATACAGTTTAAATAAAATGCTTGGCACAACTAGTGGTAAAGGGTGTTCATTAAGCAAGTAAACTAACAGGCAATGCTATCTAGCAGGGGTAGAAGTGAAAAAGGGTCATCAAAATCTGATACCTGCTCGCTTGTTCCTGGGACGAACTAAAAATAAAAAGTAAAATTCTGTCTGGAGGTTTTATTACCAGAATTATGCAAAATACAAAACTACTCTAATTTAACAATTGTAAATATAAAGCATTTATAATATGAAAATCATTTTGAAAAAAAAAAACATGAACGTAAATTTCACAGAAAAAGTTGAATATTATCACAGACATAATTGAAATGTAAAGAAAAGAAACATTTATATATAAACAATAAAAACAGAAATAAAAACCTTGATAAGGAAAACATATATTTGAATATTTGAAGAACAAAAGTTATTATTTATCGTAATATAATATCTTAATATTTGAAACATTGATTCATTCGAATGTAAAATAAAGAAATTTTTGAATATCAATTGAATATGAAATCAAATGATAAATTTCGAGGTAGATGAATACTATTAAGAAGTATATTGAAAGACAAAATATCAAAATGATCCAAAGGAGGATTATATATAGTAGAGGTTGGTTAAGAAAATTGGGAGTAAAAGCGTAGAAACTGTCATCTGAATTGAGGTAGCACTACCTGAAACGACAAAAAATTCAAAATGCAGATGAAAATAGCAAAACGGGTAAAACATTAGCAGATAATCGAGGAGCTTATGGATGATTTCATGGCGTGGCAACAAGAAACTTAGGTAAATCATTCTCCTTCTTAACCACCACCTGTATCCATTTTTCCAAAGGCAATGTTTATTCGAAACATGTGCAGAATGACAGTTTATCCTGCAGCCACAAAACAAAACTAGCCACATGGATCATTTTAAGATCAGATCTAAGGGAGTACTACCTATCTGACAAGGTTCGGGGACACGAGCGGAGCATGCAATTGAAAGAAAAATGAAGCTGACTGCAGACAATAAAACTGTCGGAGACAAATATCAAACTTTGATACTACAAATCCTGTTGGGGACGCGAGATTTTACTCAAGACTCTAATCGATGACAAAAATCTGCGACCAAGACCGCTCGTGTGCCGGCACCTTTAGAATATTGACTCCGGTAACTGGTTTGTGATGAAGGCTGATATTTCCATAGATGATAAAAGTTTAATGGCAATAACATATTGAAATCAACATTTTCAATAGTAGAGACAAAGCAGACTTGAGAATATCGACAGAAAACTTGCTATGAGTAAACCATTGGGTCCAAATTAGAGACCAATCACGGATTTTCAGCTCTTATTTCAAGCATAATCTACCAATCTCTTCTCGATACAGCGATATACTTATATTGTGACATAAATCAGTATACTTACTGTGTCTATAATGCCATTGTTGTTGGATATGACCAGGAGTTGGCTGATGGATATAATACTTCGGTGTCGTCCTTTGTCTCCGAGGAGTGGTCTTCCTTACAATAGATATAACAGTACTCTTTTTATCAGATTTGGTCGGCAAAGTCTGAGAATCTTTGCCAGTAACTTTGGTTGAAACCACTGTCGTCGTAGCAGTTGTTTTTAATGTTTTCACAATTGGAGACGATGGAACAGTCGTTTTCTGAACTGAAATAGTGGTAGTTTCAGAGGTGTGTATGGTCGCCGTCGTTTGCTTCGCGACTGTTGGTTTTCGAGAGATTGTCGTAGTTTCCGAAATCACTGTCTGTGTAGGTGAGCTGGACATAGTAGACGTAGTCAGTTCACCACCTGAAAAGAGCAAAAATATAAAATTTTAATGCAAAATCTTAAGTTTTTATCTAATGAATATTAAGCAATAAAATGTTATCCTATGGCGGTTATGGTCGTATATCAGGACAAAGGTTGGTTAGAAAATTGAATAAATGCGCATTAACGCATTTATGATTAATTTTCAAGCCACTGGGTAACAGTTTATTGCTATGTTTTTTTATTTAATCTTTGAAGATTTGGTAGCAAATATAGCACATAATATATTTGTATGATTCATATAGTGTGCAACACGATCTCTCAATGGGGTCTTGCGATAATTGAATTAAATGGACAATATGTTTATTTAGAAATAATGGCCTCATTCTGTATCTGTTCTGGCATCCTCGCCATTTTTAAGTCAAAAAAACAAAAACAATACTCACATCGAGTTGACGAGGCGGCTTTAATGGCAGCATCCTCTACACCAACACTAGCTGATAGATCATCCCACTGTTGAACATCACAACCTAGTTTTATAGACTGAAGACATAGCTGATGCATTTCTGGTAGCCTGAAAAGAGGAAGATTAAAATCAGGAATAGTATTTAACACAAATTGAAACATATGTTACCAAATACTAAGCTTGTACAGAATAGTAGGATGAATAACTAAGGATGTCAATGGTGAAGAATGGTTGGGACTTAAGGTAAAGAGTATTGGCCCATTTTAACGATGTAGGTAAAAACAACCGCAAAATCTCAAATCTAAAATCTCAGAACATAAAATACACTTATCAGTATCTTCATTGGACATATTCTTAAATAGATAACTTTTATCAAAGACTGGGTTGATTAGTATTTGAATTCTCGTTAATGGTAATTTTATTTTTAATTTATAACATAGTATTGTAAAGAGCTACAAAATGATAAGTACTCACACACATTGATCTGTAATTCTGTTCTGTTCGACAATCGTCTTATTACAATCAGTAAATATATCCAGGCATCGATTGGCTACAAGTAAAATAAGGGTTTCCAAATGAAGTTGTTGTTTTTTTGATACATCTGTTGTATGAATTTGTATAATTTGTATATATATCTCGTGGAGTGTATGACAAGACTTAGTAAATGGGGTAAAATAACTTACTAGAGCTACAGAAATATGGTTTGTGGTCAAAATCAGATGAAATATTTACAGCACGTTCTTCAAGATATGCCCGCATCTTTGGTGGACAGTTGATATTGACCATACAATCCATAAAATCAGTTTTGGTGCTAAAAGAAAAATAAGTCATTAATGAATATAAGCTCAGTAGATGACAGAATGAAATAGACGAACTTGATTACAAACAAATAGACTATACAAGTATGTGTTAATGTTTAGTCAACAGCATCATTGACAAAGTCATAATGAGACAATTAAATGCAAAGCATAGCACATTCTAAGGATGTACTGGTACTTGGTCCACCCAACGAGATCCTTGGTTTTTTAACACACGGTATCAGAGAATAGAAAATCGCTTACTCGCATATATCTTCGGGAAGAAAAACTGATCGTCCAATTTGTGCCAAAATAGCAAAACACACAGCAGTTTCGTTATCACAACCTCGTATAAAAGCTAAATCATTCGATTGCCCTAAAATGAAATGGATGAAATGGTCAGTCAATTCATATGCGCATATTTACACTGAGGATATAATTTCACAAATGGAGTTTCATAGGTTGGGAGTAATCAATTACAAGCGGCAAAGAAAAAAGACAATGGCTTGAGATTTTAAATCCTGCATTATCACTTTTTGCAAACCAATGAGATGTTGTGTGTTTTCGGTCTCAACTGTAAAGTAACAACTATTTGTTTGAAAGATATAATTCCCAAATTATTATGCTTCGTAATGTAATTGTGTTGTTAAATAGCTCAGGTAGTTCTTCTTGTATAATTTCTGACATTATTACAAGAAATCTACGCTGTACTTACGTTCGTCACAGAAATGTGTAGCTTGATTGAACTTAAAATCAGCTTCATGTATCCTGTAAACTATATCAGCCTGCACTGTAGCATCACAGCTAGTAGTGTTCACTCTCAAACACTCTTTATAGTTATCCTTCAATCTGAAAAGAACCACTGCATTATCAACAATCAGAATGATTCCTAGTGATTTATTGCCCAAATTTCATAGCAAATGAAAGTACTAACTCCTTCATTGACAGAAACAATGTTGCCCATACTAAGAGAGTTAGGTCGTCTAGGCGTCATGGTGTTCTTTTCCGATTTTATGACTCGTGGGATTCCAAAAATAGTTCTACAGCTTAGTTCAGTTCAGCATCTCTGTTAGTGATTACAAGATCGAAACAGTTGAAATTAACTGATTATGTCTGAACATGTAATTTCGGTTGAAGGAGAAACAGGAGCTACTTACACACAAGCTTGGTTGAAATCTGCCTGTATGTTAACTTGTTCTAGTATATCGGTGCAATGTTCCAGAGCTGTTATACATTTACCAAGATGAAATATCTTATTATCTGCATTAGCTGTAAGATAAACGGTATAGACTCTAACAACTAGGTGAAGTGCTTTACTTTGGATAACAATTAGTGTTGAGTTGTTCTAAGATAAGATGTTCGTATTGGATTGTTTAAGTGGAAATGATAAAGGTGTCATTGACATTTGATAATGGAAAATGAGTCCTCTTTACCCATAGTCATCCTCAATATATAATTTAACACGATAATGATTTGATATTTGATCGTGTTTTCTCCAAAGAACGTACCCAAGCTGCAGCTGTAAGGAGCACCTTTAAACTGGTTGATAACGAGCAGTAAAATAGACGCCACCTCGGCTGTTGACACAGGATCGCAATCTTTAGCAGCATCAGCAACACATCTTAGAGACTCGTCTACTGCACTGTAAAAACAACAGTTAGGGTCATGGGTCGTTGCATTACAGCCTACTCTGTACGTGAATGTGGCAATGCTGAAGCAATATGTACAATATAAAGGAATACCAGGGCCCCTTTTCAACAAGAATCTTTGGGTTTGGGTCTGCACTGCCATATATCCTCCTATGACGTGAGTAGATTGACTTCTATTTTATTTGTTTTCTTAATATTCATATAAAAAATATCCATAGAGGCTTGCTACTTTGATAAATCAAGAAAAGATTAATATCTTACAAACAGGTTTGCGGAACATCCATTCCACCATTGATCTTTACAGTTAGAGTGTTGGAACAAACATCAGCTTCTTTGGCACATGATGGAAATATTGATGGTGGTCCCGAAACTAACAAAAATCATTATATTGAATAAATAAAATATAATGTTCAGAGAAGCTTATAATCTAGGAAGGTCCCATGACACATGTGGGCTGTTTTGGTGAATTTAACATAACTAAATAATAATTAACATCACAAGTCATAAATCAGGCCTGTGATGTTTTCATAAAATACTTCAAAAGGTCAAAACCTACTTGGAGTTGTTGACTGTTGAAGAGATGCAGCAACCTTCGTCGTGGATTGTCCAGATGTTGTGGTACCTTTCGTTGATGACACTATTGCTTCATTCGTGGTAGGAGCTATAGTTGGAACACTGGTAGTTGTTTGTGCTGTTGGCGTGTCGGGGGACTTTGAAAACTTTGTAGTAGCACCGGTTGTTGTGGACAAAGATCCAGCCTTTGTTGTAGCGCCCGCAATGTTCGTAGTTTTTCGTGTAGTTATATCTTCAGATACCGACGAATAGGTAGTTGTTGGTTCCAAATTCGTTCGTAATGTGGTTTGTTGTGATTGCTTTGGTGATGTAATAGAGTTAAATTGCTCTGTGGTTAATTTATCAACAGATACATCTGAAGTTGTGACATCTGATGTAGTGGTCGTTCGTTTAGATATACCAATACTAGTTGTTGGTGTAGGTGCGGTCGTGACCGTCGCTGCTGGCTTAGTTGAGGTTGTGGCCGTAGCCTCTGGCTTAGTTGAGGTTGTGTCCGTAGCTACTGGCTTGGTTGAGGTTGTGGCCGTACCTTCTGGCTTAGTTGAGGTTGTGTCCGTAGCTGCTGGCTTGATTGAGGTTGTGGCCGTACCTTCTGGCTTAGTTGAGGTTGTGTCCGTAGCTGCTGGCTTGATTGAGGTTGTGGCCGTACCTTCTGGCTTAGTTGAGGTTGTGTCCGTAGCTTCTGGCTTAGTTGAGGTATTGTCTGTAGCTGCTGGTTTGGTTGAGCTTGTGTCCGCAGCTGCAGGCTTGGTTGGGGTTGTGGCCGTACCTTCTGGCTTGGTTGAGGTTGTGGCCGTAGATGCTGGCTTGGTTGAGGTTGTGGCCGTAGCTGCTGACTTGGTTGATATTGTGGCCGTAGCTGCTGGCTTGGTTGAGGTTGTAGCCGTAGCTGCTGGCTTTGTTGATGTTGTGACCGTAGCTTCTGGCTTGGTTGAGGTTGTGGCCATATCTTCTGGCTTGGTCGAGTCTGCTGATGAGGTTGGGATAACAGTAGTTGGTTTCTTTGACGTCGAGATTGCATCAGTGGGTTTCGTTGTGGTCGAGAGCGCTTCAGTTGATGTCGCTGTTGAGACAGCAATAGTTGTTTCCGCTACCGTGGTTTTCGTGTTTGTTTTAGCATCCGCTGTCGTTGTTGGTGCTGTAAATAATTTTAAGTAACATGACTAAACAAATGATGAGAAAATTACATTGCCCCTGATCATTGTTTTACCTCAGATTGCTGTCAACTAAATTGGTCTGGTACTTGTAAGTATGTTGGGAATCGACAAATATTCTATAAGCTTCTAACCTTGATTACACAAATATGGCGATTGGTTATACTTATTTTCTGTGGTAACAATAATATTACTGATATCTGATTGGCTCGCTGGATCACATGACGTAGTATTGTCTTTTAAACATTCAACATACAGCGTTTTGAATCTGGAAGAAGACATTGAGGTTGGTGTTATTACGTATCCTCTAGTAACGCCAAAACTAGTGCAGTTATAACTGCTTATTGATTCTTATGACATAAGCCTGTACAGAGATTTATGTACCATTCATCCAACACAACTTTTGTTGCTCAAGTCCAAATTGGCTTTTTGCTTCATATGGAAAATTAAAAAGCCTTAAAAATCTGGCAATGTGCTAATGTAATCAATTACTTACCCACAAGCCTTCTGGAGAGTTGTCTCAGCTTCTGCCAAATCGGAGAACTGGGAACATTTGGTAACTTGCTCAAAACAACCCTGGACACTGTAGACGGTAGTTTGTGCTATAATCATAATGGGGTAGTAATGATCAAAAGTTTAATAAAAGTGATAGAGATGGACCGGAGCGTTTTACGCACCACATAATTCATTATTCTTTGAATAGCAGAATAAATGTAAATACTTACATTGAGGTGTCGTGGTTGTTGCAAGTGTCGTAGTAGGAATACCTAGAAGAATATTAAACGTTATAAACGTTACTGATGATAGTAGATAAGTGTCTTTGAAATTAATAGGTTATACAATATATGAATATTCTATTCATGACAATATATGCCCTGGAAATTCATATGAATATGGAATATGACATTTAAGGAAAAAAACAGTTAACGCATCATCGACCCATCGAACAAATAATGGTCCTGCGTTCTTATCTTGGACGTCTGTGGATCATTTCCTATTGTTTCAGCCACAAATAGGTACAGATATTTCATGAAAGATAGATTTTAAAGAGGTTTGTATAGAGCCAACTGTTGGAAATATAGACAACCGAAGTTGTTATTCTTATAATTAAGCAAACCACCAAAATCTCCGCCCCTGCCAATCTAATTGTTCACAAACTCTCTTTTCTATGTTCATATTTACCAACTGACATTCATGACATAGGCTCATTAGGATCAAACTCTTGACAAAAATATACTTCTTGAGCGATAGATAACTTACAACCAGTTGGTGAGTTAGATCGTATAGAAGCATCAACTTGATCTAGATATGGTCCCAGATTACCCAACTCAGTTGGATCACAGGAAGTAGCTATATCATTATAACATTGAGTATGTACTTCGATTACTCTGGAAATATATACAAATATCAATAGATATATGAAATGTTTCTAGTGTTTGTCCTTTATATACAGGGTGTTTCGGAGTTGGAAACTGCTTCCCCCAGAGCATAAACTAAAATAGATATGGACAAGAACTAAAGTGATTCAAAACAGGTATTTATTTACGTTTCTCTCTGAGTATATCATATTTTGTATGGCCCCCATCTGCCTGTACCACAGCCTGTATTCTTAAAGGGAAGAGCTCATTGGTGAAGCTCTTCTGGTCAAAGACCAGCAGGTGGAACCTGAAATGTCAGCCTCGTAATAAAAAACCATTGCAAGTCTCTTAGTAATTAAAGAAAAAATAACGTACAAACAAGGTTCTGCAATACCATTGGAGAGCGTCGAATTACAATTATTAAACATTGCTTCACATGCTGGAAAATAAATCATATATTGGTGTAATCTGTTATTGCACGACTTGCAGGTTAGGCTTTGGATTCGTAGCAGTGAAAAAAATATGAAAAGTTGCTATCACCTGTTCAGGATTTCGAATATAAAATCAGGTCAACTTGTTTGAAAAGCATGTAAGCAAAGCAAACAAGATTATTTAATTGTGTGGACATCCGACGTACATTTGAATTATTCATGTCACAAACCTGATATTGGAGACGGCGCGGTTGTACTCGTTGCTGGTGGTGGAACACCTGAAAATAGGAATGATTCTTTTGAATTGCATATTTACGACATTGCGCTTCAATCAACTCGGTTTTATTTCGACATTCTTTGTCGATTCAAATTGTGATTTACAGTTCTGTACTTTGTTGGGATCATTGGATTTAAACCACTTAAAAGTGGGTATTACGGTGTACTTTCAGCATTTTTAAGTACATGATATCATTTCTTAGAAAAGGGATATGCGGTGCTCATTTGGTTACATGTTTTTAATTAATTGTTTTTAATAAATTATATGTTTTGAAGTACCAGTACTTTACTTACAACCAGTAGAAGAAGCTGCTCTGATTCCAGCATCAACCTGATCTAATAAAGAACCAAGTTGACCTAATTCTGTAGCATCACAGGAAGTAGCTATATCATTATAACATTGAGTATGCACCTCGATTACTCTGGAAATATATCAAGATAAATTCATAATAATCTTATATTTTCTATTATCCTATATCTATCGGCGAATTATGGATGTGTACAAGTTCAAGACTTTTCCAAATTTAAAGCTTATGGCAAGGGGTAGAAGATGCTTTTATGACATCGGAATTCGACAAATCATGACAGGAAGAGGTACTTACCGGCAAGGTTCATTGATGGAAGCTGTTAGTGTAGAATTACAGTTGTTAAACATACTCTGACACGCTGAAACTGAAAATTATTATTTCAAATTAAATTCATAGGACAATGGACAAAATCATAAGAATGTTTATTATTCCCCTATTACGTTTCTACATACAAAACAGCAAGTTTTTCTTTCACAATGTTACTGAAATATGTTACATGGTCAAAGGTAGAATATAACCGTCCACAGACAACAAAGCCTATGTAAAGTCATTGAACAAAAATTTTGGTTTGATCCACCAACAAATTGGTGTATTTTTAAGCATTCTATATGAAAAATGAACTTTTTTGTACCTGGTTTCACTGCTGTAGTAGTTGTTGGTATACCTGTAATTTGAGAATTGTGACATTCAGTTTGATATGAGCATGTCGCACTTAGTCAATGGAGGACAAAGAGGAACAATATTAACTAAATCAAGTAATGTACAGCTCTGGGGTTTCTTTGCATCTTTAATATTATTAGCACATCTTCCTGTCAGGTTCTGACTTTCATATAATAAAGAGAAAGGATGCACTTACATCCAGTCGGAGAAGCAGCTCTAATATCAGCATCTGTCTGATCAAGTCTAGTTCCCAGATTACCAAGTTCTGTTTGATCACAGGTTGGTGCTACATCATTGTAACATTGGGTGTGCACATCGATTATACTGAAATATAACATATTCAATAGGCGTACACCTTCTTGAGTGGCCTAATATTGTTGTTTGTCATTGAATGTTGATTTTTACTAGTATAAAAATGAAGCGAGTCTTTGATTGTATCGTTATATCTAATACAATGTCGGGCTTAAATTGGAAAATATATGAATTGTTTCTAATGAAATGTTTTATCACATACTTGCAAGGTTCAGTTACTGATGCCGCCAGAGTGGTGTTACAGTTGTTGAATTGAATTTCGCAAGAACTCAGACCTGCAAAATACAAAAGTACGAAAGTTAATATTGTATACATTGTCTTTTTTCTCGTCTAAATTGCTTCAATTATGAAGTAATGTCATTCATCAAGCTTTTTGATAAAATAAGTGTGGTGTCGTCGTCTTCTTTCTTGAAATTGTGATTCAGATAAAGAAGAAGATAGCATAGTTCAAACATACCAATAGATGTTGTAGCAACTACTGTGGTCACCTCCAAAGTCGTGGTGGGCGCCGATGTGACAGGTACAGTCATGGTAGTTGGTATTGTCGTTGTTGACGTCGCTGCATCTGTGACTGAGGTACCTAAGGATAATATAAGATTGAAATTTTGTGCGCAAATTAAAATATGCTTCCTCCACGCATAATTGACAGACTGATAAAAATTTCCCTTCGAAATGATTGTCTATCAATAGAAAAATAGGTTGGATTATTTGATGTAAACATGCCGGTTTTGAACTTTATCGGTGTCAATCTTCGGACTAATATATGCTAATAACTTATACCTGTAGATGTAGCTACTGTTGTTGTATTATGTAGGGCAGTTGCTCCTTGTTTGGTTGATTTTGAGGCGGTCCTTGTGTCCATGGTTGCTGTTGATGAATTGGTTGATTCAGTACTGGTTACGGTTGTTAGTTCTTTCGTGGTTGTTTTCACTGTTGATGCGCTGGTAGCTCCGGCACCTATAATGATATAGATTGTATGTTAATAAGAATCTTGTCAGATAGATCGTACATGGAACATAAGAAATCCCCTGCTTGGGAATATATTTCCAAAGTTACAAACTAAGAGGTGATATTTTGAACGATGTTTTTTAAAGGTAAGATAGATATTGATATTTTTAATATACTACTTACACCCATTAGGAGAACTGGCTCTAATAGCAGCATCTGTTGCATCCAACATCTGACCAAGATCTCCAAGTTCTGTTTGATCACAAGTTGTGGCAATGTCATTATAACATTGGGTATGGACATCTATATAACTGAAAATTTACAAAATCTCGGTATTGGTTCGCTGTTGATCAACGAAAGGGCTGAAAATGCTTTGATATTCAGTAAAGGTAAGCACAGGTACCTTGGTTCTCATCCTGTCACTTTCAAACCTTATATTCCTAAATAAGAAATTATATCAATGGCATGTGGCCTAATTGTTTATTTTTAGTTTTTTATACCCAAAAATCCCCTATTTCATTGAGGATTCTCAAAAATCTTTTACACCTATTCGTTATTGTTTTAGTTGATATTACTTACTTGCAAGAATCTGTAAGCGAATATGTTGCATTACAATCGTCAAATCTCGCTTGACAAGAACTCACTGTAATTAGAAAATACAGTTGATA